TAATTTTGAAATAAACAAACATAAAAACATTTACACTTTCGTCACATAGTCTAGACACCATTTCAAGCTTCTTTATGGACAATGGGCAATGGAGACTTGTAAAATGAATACCCAGATTAATCAAGAGACTTGAACAATGATTTGCACATTCATTAATAGACTTGTACAATGGATACCCACATTCTGAGTGGGAGATAAATATTCATAGCGGTAGTATTTTTTAAGCGGGAGATATATATACTCATTGTTCGGGTCTTTTTTTCTGAGTTGGAGCAATTTATTCATTGCAGTTTTATTATTTTTTTGGCAATGTTCATGAAATGCACCATTAAAATCAAGAAGAAGCTTGACTTAGTGTCTTGACTATATGAAGAATAGGTAAATTTCCCTATGTTTATCTTATAATTGATTTATCGATTTTGAAACTGAGTTACGATATTGTTGACATGTCGACATTTTCTTGTTCTGCTGTTCATGAACCATTTCAGTTATCAGACAGTTCTTTATTTTCCTCAATGAACAGGTGGGCTTTCCTTGAGACGCTGGGATTCTTCTCGTTTATTGGTATCCTGCTGTTACGGGCACTGTCTTACCGCCTGGAGCTGACAATGTGTATCATCACTGTCTTCTCCATTAGCATGCTGTGTTTTGTCGTGTCTGACCTTGACTCGCCCTTCAGTGGCTTCTTCCGCGTGGATCTGTCAATACTTGGGGAGGTAGTACAGCGGCTAGAGAGGATGTATTATGAAGAGAGGACAATGACAGAGGGAACCATTTTCACGGTATCAACATTTGTGGATGATAACGATATAAACGAATTAAGCTCTAAAAAATCAAACAAATCCTTATTTTAGATTCAAAAGTATTTTCAACTGTTTTCAGATGTGTATTTTGTCGTTTTGTTCGGACAGGCTTACTGAAGGAAACCATTAAAATCAATATTTGAATTTATAAATCGATTATTTACAAGTACGGTATACCACCCAATATAATACATGATGTAATATACACCCCATACATAAAGTAGTTACATTGTGATTGTGACAGGTCTCCCAAAAACACAAACAATTGCCATGATATTTGAAATTTCTAAAGTCACATGTTACATGCATGCGTATGTTTCACTATTCGTACGTTTCGCTTTTAATAACAATGTACTTGGTAAACACAAACAAATCGCTGTGCAGAATCGAAACCGATAAAAAGATGACAAAATATGTACAAATAAAAGATTTAAAAACCTTGAAAATGTTGAACCATTATTATATGTAAAGGCAGCTGTGGAAAGAAATAATGTATGTTTACAATGTGGAAAGAACTTGCAGCATGAATTACCTGTGTTAAATGTTTTAAAAAGTATTATTAAAGTAAATATCAACAATGATGCAGTACTATTGATTTATTGTTACTATTTATAAGTGAAGGTCATACCGAGTATTTCCTGAAAAGTAAATCCTCGGCCATCCATTGGTTAGATATTGTTTAAAACGTTTGTCAAAAAAAAGCCTTTCTGGATCTCATGATAATCATGTTTATGGCGAATACCGAAGTACGTTTAATGTGTTCATTATCTTTGATTCAATCACCATTTCCTTGTAAACCTACCTTTATATGTGCCACCATTAAATGTCCAATGAATTTGAAAAGAAAAATCTGCTACTTTACACTTTTTACGCTTGTGTTCAAAATGTCTTTTTTTCATTAGACAATAACTAAATGTTTAGTTTTAAATTCTAGGCTTGTTTTGTCGATCCATGTATTGATATGTGATTATGTTTTCACGTGCATGTTCACGTGATGTTTGTCGAACAAATTATAGGATATATAGCAATTTCGAACTACCTTCACATTCCTGTAGGCACATGGATGCGAGACCAGTACAACGAGATCAGTCTTTCACTGAAGAAACCATATAAACTGCTGTTGGTACTTTTCCAAGTTTCAAAACTAAAGCTCTGAGTAAAAGCAACAAGCTCTAATTGAGATATCATTCTAAACAAAGCAAAACACTTCTTTGTCAATTTCTACCTCCGAACTGTGGCAGTTTTCGAACAAGCAAAAATGTCGACTCGTACTGAAACATGCAGTTGTCAAGTGCATTTGAGAAAGCGAAATTTTATACAATGACCCAGTCTGATTTAGATAGTGATTCAAAAATAATACTAAGCAAATAGATATCCTGATTATAGATAATCATCTTTAAAAAAAAAAAAATAAGAGTAACTTTTTATTTTTAATCCTGACTTCCTTACCTGATCACCTTTTCCTATTAATCATTTGGTAATAAGGGAACCCTACATCCTACAATACCGCCCTCTGCGATTTGCAATGGTGTCTGCAGATACATGTAGGGCATCGACTTATTTCTTTACAATCATTGCCCCATTTTCTCCTACAACAGAAACTTGGCTTCTTTGATAGCGAATCTACATGTACATCTACACGTAGTCCTATCTTTCTTAGTTACAATAGCTCAGACTGTCAATAATAAGGATACGGACCTCCTCCTTTTATATTGGACTCCTAAACATTCTCAAGAATCCATATGATACAGCGTTTTGTCACTAAGTTATTTAATTCTTCTATGAAAACTTTCTAAATGCTTCTTACTATTATTCTTGATACAGTTAAATCAGGGGTACAGTCCTGTTATACAGTTTGCTCGAAACAATTGAACTATGTATGTCGATTCTGTAGAACTTCAAAAAGCTTTTGACCAATCTTTAACACTTCTACTATTATATCATTTGATTTTCCACACTGAAGGAACTATTTTATTCTCAAAGCAAAGGTGAACGTTGGTACAAATATATGGTTGTCATCTGCACTGCAACTTTTGACATGTACATGTGAAACTAAGTGAAAATGATCGAGTGTCTGGTGACATATCTTCGTCAAACTTGGTGGTAGGATCTTCCAACAGACTAATAGCATGCCCATCTACAGAAACAAATTGTGTTTTTGGGGTTAGCTTTTCATAACAGGTCATTAAGACCTTGCTAAGTTCCTCAGTTTCGTGTTTAATCGATTTCTTGTTCGTTAGGTAACAAGAAATTTATTGATCATGTTTAACGTTCATGTATATACAGCACCCGCCAGAAGTTATAAGTCTTAGTAGAGTTGTTTACTATATCCGATACCGAGAGTTTTCCCCCTTGTCACGATTTCCCTGCAAAATGTCGATAGTGGGGTTTTTGTGAGTTAGGATTGACGAAGATAATAGGAAAGTTTCAAGATCGTCACTATGATGACATTGAGAAATTATTGTTCACATTTGTGACTTGAAGTTTGAGTAAGAAAGGTTCCGGCGAATCAACCTTACACAAATATGTATTAAGATTTTGGAAAGTGACATTACTTACTTGGAATAGCAATGAAGCAGAGGACAATTGAACTTCCGGAACACATGGTATGATTCAGGTCTCCATGTAAATGCTTGTTTTGTTAATATGTTGCACACATTTCATCGATTTTTGAGACAGAGGCAAACACAATGGTGTTTTGGAACAAAGTGCCACATGTCCAAATAATAGAACTGATAACCAGCCATAACGCTGTGGCCTCTGTTTATTTGTTCTCATAAGTTATGCGCGTTTCCCAAATGAAAAGAACCCAAAAAGAACGGGACTTCTCAGTAGTTTGCCCTATGGGTAAGTCAATTTCTGCAACATCCACAACAAATATTGTAAATCATACATATATATATACTTACTGTCGTTCTTCTTACCTTAGTTAAAAAAAGTACACATAACAAAAATTACGCCTAATTATCTGTCTCGCGTGTTCCCACTATCATCAAGACGAAAATAGCAATTTTGTAAAAACAATGAAAAAAACACAAAAAGTTAACTTATATGTATCTTACTTAAAAAACAGAATTTGTGTAACGAAAATACGTGAATCTTCACATTATTTATCAATTGAAGTTGGTTGATACAATGGTACCTCAAGGTCTAAACAAGTCTGTCATATGTGTACTAGGAGACAAATCCTCCAGGATAAATATAATTTTATTTAAGAAAGAAATACATCAAAAATTACTATTAAAGAGAAAAAAAAATCCATCCGCATTTAAATTGGTTCGTTATTCAGAGTAGAAAATGTTAAAGAACTGTGTTCTCCAGTTAAAATATACAATGTGGGTTTCATTATCTATGTTTTTTATAGGCTTAGTAGTAAATTATTTGTTTTGTTGAAAGGTTAAAAGTATTACAAGAATTGAAATTGAAAAAGAAATCAAGGTAAAGCTTAATAGAAAACTTTAACATAGTAAAATTAATTTACAAATGGGTTGGGATGGCAATATATAGAAATTAGTATAATCTAGACGTGGTATTTACAGCTTTGGTTCTTGGAGCTCAACACAAAGAAAACAGAAAATTCTAATATAGCACAAGATAAATCAACAAAGTCCAATTAAATATAGACTGTAGGTGTATATCTGAAATGCTAGTTGAGATGGTCATACATATTCTAGGTTTGGTCACGATAGCTTAAATACTTGGATGAGATCAAGCTCACGACTGAACTTATCGTATATCTTTGATACAGCTGATTTCAATGACAGAGTCCCATTAACAGTAAACTTTAAGCAAGATTGTAATGTGTGTTGGGATAGTTATACAGATATATTCCAGGTCTTACCACAGCTTGTATTCTTTTGGAGAAATTAAACTCATTGTAGAGCATAACTTACACATGGCACCATTAATTGACAGCTTCCAAATGCAAAAGAATTAATATAAGCTCTATGCCTGTTTTCCCATCTCATATGTAATATAAGTATTTATAATATTGTTGAACATTCAATAAAAATAGTGTTAAAATGTCAACTTGTGCTGTAATCTTATAACTGACAATATGTGAAAGATGTTCTTGATTATACACAACACTTGTAATTGAATTGGATAATTTGGAGATTATCACAAATGTTGAAGTTAATGCCGGTGGAAAAGTAAAGCCCATGCCTTGCTATGTGATTTGAGAAAAACCAAAACGTCTTTAATAATAGTAGTAATTAATTTACTTCCCGAGGAACTAGACGCAAGTAATACATTGGAAACACACTCATGGAAAAAAATGAATAAACGAACATTAATTAATCAAAAGCTAATACAACATGACTAACATAACAGTATGAACTATTGTGTCATGCATGAATTTCTTAAAAACTTCGCAAATATATATATAAAGACTAAGTAAAAGGTTTACAAAATGTGTCCAGGAATTCATAAAAATAAAACAAAATGGACGGCGGATAACTCATGCAATGACGAATATATCAGGCAGTATCATACTGTTTGCCTATCAAAAAGCAACATATTCGATGTTTTTCATTTATTTAAATTTCATAAGGAAGCAATGCATTTAAATAATAAATGCATAACAGGTGCCTGTTACCCCGATTCTTCAGTTCAATGTTAGATGTAAATTCTGGCATTCAGCCGTGTATCCAGGGACAGTTCATCTACATCAATATTGAATGACTTTACACCTGCCACTATATGTGTAATCAATGGGTTTTATGTATATTTTTAATAATAAAGCTTAACTTTACATAATCTGTCATGATTATCAGGAAACACAACAAAACAAGAGATCCCTGAATGATCTTGCAATTAGTGACCACCATCTAATGATCTTTATCCATTCTGTATATGACCTTTTCTCTACTTTTCCCTTATTTCACATTTTCCTCTTATTTGAATCCTACATATGAAATCTAAGAAAGATCTAACAAGAGCTTTCTGAAAAGTAGTGATAACAAACAGACATTGTCATTTTCTTGGCTTTATTGTTCACCTGATCAAACTCAAAATTAAATTGGAAAAAATAGAGACCAACGGTAATGAACACAACTAGGAACCGAAGAAAACCTACATATGCAATCAAAGAAATAGAAATAGAGCCATCTATAAAATATTGCCTTCCATTTTTTGAAGTATTTCATATATTTTAAACTACAGAGTCACTAAAACAATCTGTAACTTACGATAGCTGTAAATCATTTAATGATAAAATGACATTTTTGATAAATATGAAGTCGCTGTCAAGGACATCAGCAGGAACTCTTTCACTAAGAATTACAAAATATAACAATCCTAAGTTTGATTGTACAGTACTCTGACTGAGAAAAGGCACTTAATGTCTATAATTAATCATGAGCTAAGCTCGACCCCTCTCCTTTCCAGTAAACTTTTAATTCCACTTGGCAGTCTAGATCACGAAGAGCAGCTTTGGCATCATCTGCACATCCAGGATGGTTTTTAAGAGCTTCGTTGATGAGAGCCTCAGCACCTAATTCCAATATAGGGTCACAGTGTTCTCTTGTTCTGGCCACGAGATTCCTTATGGCATTACAAGCTTGTTTCTGAAATATAAAATAAATATTCACCAAATTCAACATAAACTCAATACTAAATGAAATGTATATACAGGTATAAATATAAACTTTATTCCTTTTACAACATATACTAATCACTCTTGTCTATAACCTGCGAATTAAGATACTAAGATACAATAGTTTCAGTATAAGTATATGAATGTATAAGGATGAAGGTACAAGAAAGAAATGCTTTTTTTTATTATACAATCAAACTGTCTTGATGTTTACATAAAACCACAATGAACCATGCACATAGAAGTACTTGAATATATTGTTTTTAGTTCAATGAACTTAATATCTAACCTATATTCTACATATCCTAAACAGTTAATATCTACAGAATCTAGATTAAGATTTGTTTAGGTGTGAGAAATTGATTTGATCCGAGATTAAAATAATGATATACCTGTACACCAGCATCCTTGGGGTGAATTTTCATAGCCTGGATAATGGATTGATGACCAGCCAGACTGATGACTGCATTACAATGAGCTGGATTACGAAGGACCAGGGTAGCTATTGCAGCACAACACAACTCTGCCACAGCTGAATTAGCCTGGTGTTTGATCATGGCCACCAAGATGATCTCTAACGCATTGCTCTTTACAGCTTCTAATTTTACTTCATCATTTCCAGCCAAAGCTTTGATGAGACCAAGGGCTTGTCTAACTACTCCCTGAAATATATTTTACAGAGGTGTAAGTATTACACAAGCATCAAAGGCTTGTTAATGTCTGTATGTGAAAAACATTTTACATATCTGTATCATATTTGTAGTGGTCTATATCCTGTAATCAAGATTATATTTGTAGCCACCAGATCCTGTTATCTCTTACATGGGCATAAAGAAATTAGGCCTACATTGCTCATCTTTTCTACAGCTTACAACAGTCTGTCAAATTAATTTCTGAAAACATGAAAGCCCATTCCTAAAGTGATCTCTGTAATGTATGGAGACTAAACCCATCCCCTTGTCTTTAAAACTGCTCTGTAATGTCTGTAGACTAAACTCCTCCCCTAGTTTCAAACACTGCTCTGTAATGTCTACAGTGAAAACCCCTCACCTTATCTTTAACAATGGTCTGTAATGTCTGCAGTGAAAACCCCTCACCTTGTCTTTAACACTGTGCTCTGTAATGTCTGTAGACTAAACTCCTCCCCTAGTTTCAAACACTGCTCAGTAATGTCTACAGTGAAAACCCCTCACCTTGTCTTTAACACTGTGCTCTGTAATGTCTGTAGACTAAACTCCTCCCCTAGTTTCAAACACTGCTCAGTAATGTCTACAGTGAAAACCCCTCCCATCTTGTCTTTTACACTACTCTGTAATGTCTGTAGACTAAACCCCTCCCCTAGTTTCAAACACTGCTCAGTAATGTCTACAGTGAAAACCCCTCACCTTGTCTTTAACACTACTCTGTAATGTCTGTAGACTAAACCCCTCCCCTAGTTTCAAACACTGCTCAGTAATGTCTACAGTGAAAACCCCTCACCTTGTCTTTAACACTGCTCTGTAAAGCCCGCAGGATGAAGTCTAGTCCACCCATTTCCATGACAGCCTGGCAGAACTCTGATCTCACTACCAATTTAGTCAGTGTGGAGAACAGCTCCTTTAGGACACTTGGGTTTTCAGAATAATCTGAAAGATACAGATCATATTTTCATTGATCTTAACTATGATTTTATCAGTTATTATCAGAGAATTATGTGTCATTACTATGGGAAAGCAACTTATGAAAGATTGATCAGAATGCCATATAACATTAATCTGGGACAGGAATCATTAATCAAATCATGTGTCGGACTTTATTTGGGAGAGGAATGTATTGAAGATTTATCAAATAATCATGTGTCAGAATTTATCTGGGACAGGAATGTATTGAAGATTTATCAAATAATCATGTGTAAGAATTTATCTGGGACAGGAATGTATTGAAGATTTATCAAATAATCATGTGTCAGAATTTATCTGGGACAGGAATGTATTGAAGATTTATCAAATAATCATGTGTAAGAATTTATCTGGGACAGGAATGTATTGAAGATTTATCAAATAATCATGTGTCAGAATTTATCTGGGACAGGAATGTATTGAAGATTTATCAAATAATCATGTGTCAGAATTTATCTGGGACAGGAATGTATTGAAGATTTATCAAATAATCATGTGTCAGAATTTATCTGGGACAGGAATGTATTGAAGATTTATCAAATAATCATGTGTCAGAATTTATCTGGGACTGGATTGTATTGAAGATTTATCAAATAATCATGTGTAAGAATTTATCTGGGACAGGAATGTATTGAAGATTTATCAAATAATCATGTGTCAGAATTTATCTGGGACAGGAATGTATTGAAGATTTATCAAATAATCATGTGTCAGAATTGATCTGGGACAGGAATGTATTGAAGATTTATCAAATAATCATGTGTCAGAATTTATCTGGGACTGGAATGTACTGAAAATTGGGCTTAAGTTGTTTTTGTTTATGAAACTGGTCAAAGTTACTTGATATTTGAAATTTGTTTTTTTTATTCAAAGGATTGCCAAGGATCAATATCTAAATGTTCATCATGTTCATTTCACTCTGTTGATTTGTAGTGTGTAGTTGCTTATATAAAATGACATGAATTGCAAAGAGTAAAATTACATATCTTTGTTGTGTTCAAACAAAATAAGTACTTATGTTGGCACTTGTTTTGTGGATATATCTCACTCTTTTGTGCGAAACTTTTTGATAGTTTTCATCTGTTTAACATTTCGTGGACATGAATACAGATTTAAAGTGACCATATAATCAATGAAAATTTTTAAAAAACTCGCAAAAATTAATGGTTTTAGCAATATTTCCAAAGAATGCTCTGATTTTGTCTCAATGATGTCTCAACAGGCAACATCACTATTTATAGGAATAATTACTAGCTGTTAATCTCTTTACCTCTACACAAATTCAGGAGTGTTTCTAAAGCGTTTCCTTCTGTTACAATGGCTTTAGCGTGTTCATGTGCTTTGCCAAATGGCACTCGAATGTCATCATCGAAAGTGAGCACTCGCAGAGCTCCACAAGTTTCTATCACAATTTTGTCACTGTTTTTATGTATATTTAACACCTCAGATAATTTAGAAATAAGGCCCTTCTTTACAAACATCTGTCGGTTTTCTTCATGCTTTGTACATGTGTTTCTGATGAGGCCAACTGTAAGATACAACACATCCACATTGTCCATAAAACTGCCCAACATGTCCATCAGTAGTGAACAGCTGTGATTATCCAGCAAGTCTGGCTGGCCATTAGTAAGGGACAGTAAGGTCAGTAAAATCTTTTGAAGCATTTTGTGATCTGTGATAAATTTTTCTAATGCCTGTATCAGTGTTGGGTAAGCTTGGTTATTTCCAGCTAGACATCGCCGTGACAGATCAACATCACATTCAGCTCGGATCATTACTATACAGTCTGTTATTTCTGCACATGAAGATTCTTCACTGTCAAGACCAATCTTCAGGTTCTTAATGGCTGATATGACTGGGTGTTCAGCAGCATCGCCTTGTCCAGAAAACAGTCTTGCGTCTTGTACAATATTACTGAGGTTGATGCCCTAATAAGGAAAATAAATCATTAAGGTTTATCATGTCTGATGCCTAATTTGTTGATTCCAATTAGGGAGTACAAAGATAAAGAAAATAAAAAATAAATTTGTTATTAAAAGCAGTTTACATTTTGGAAGGGTTTTTCTTCTTTATTTACACTCCTTAAAAAAATATAAAAATTGTTGTTCATTGGACATTATACACACTGACAGAACAGTTGATAACTGAATTGGCAAAAATTACCAGCTGATTTCACTTTCACAGAAAAGTTGGTCAATTACAGAAGTAAACAGAAAAGAGTTTCACAATAGTGTCATTTTTTATTATATTTTTGTGAGATATTTTAAATGTTTAAAATTTTATTTACATACTGTTTGGAGTTTTCTAGTTTATACAAAATAAATTTAGCAGAATACAGAATATCAGAACTAACACAATCACAGGTTCACACTTATTTTTACTTAAGTGTTCAGTGGTTTGGCTTGCTATGCACCAGGTTAGATGTTTCCTGAAGTGTTATCATCAATTTTGTTGGCAAGGCCAAATAGAGATTACATAACTTTACCACCACATAAACGTCTTGACAATGTATGATGCTAGTAGAACATGTAGAGCTCAATCAGGACATTTTCATGGCCCTGTCAAGCTAGTGTACATGTCATGGATAAACTTAATACAAGGATAATGACAAAAAAACTACAGCATAACACTGATACCAATTTATACATTCATGACTAGAAAAATAATTCTGAAAGTACAACACTTTCTACTGAAGTAAAGTTTCTTTAATGTTGGCAACAAGAGGTTCATTGGGCCTGTATCACTCTTGTGGGCACTTAAGCTTTCACTTCAAAATATTTTTAATCACTATCGTGATGTAAGATAATTTCAATTATGTGTTCCAAATATATGTAATTAAATATAACAAAGATATCAGAGCTCTGTGTCACCAGAGAATACTTCAGACTAAATTTGGGAAAACCCATTCATTCCTACGAAAGAAGTAGGATTTTAAAAAAAATTCACTCTATTTCCCCTCTTGGGGCCCCCCACTCCCCTCCTGCAAATTAGTTCTAAATTTGGGCAAAATCTAATCATTACTGCAGGAGGAGTAGGATTAAAAATTTTTCCATTTTGGGTCCTGCCCTGTTCCCTAGGGATGCTTCAGAACAAATTTGGTAATAATACTGTAAGTCATATATGACTATTAGCGATTTGTTTGAAAAGGTTGACTGATGGATGACAGATGCTGCAAATGCCACAAACTCTCTTGGCCCTCAATGTTAAAACCATAATTCTGTCTGCTAAAAATATGCCAAGTGATGTCAATTTTATATGAACATATACACCATTGTACCTGTGATTCAAACTGCTGAACAGCATCATCTATAGCTTCATCAGCTTCCATTCCAAACTCCTCCATATTCTCTCTTACTACATCATCAAATGTCTGCTGTGTGATCACCTTTGCCATCTGTGAGAAAAGATTAGTTATAAGTTAAACTTCCTGTATGTTGATTTCACTGATTTATCCATGACATATCTATATGGTTTATATACCGTTCCATATACTACAGATACATACTATCAATCACAGCCAGAATTAAATACATTTTTTTACTTGCACAATTGGTTTAATCCCTGGTGAAGTCACGGAAAAATAAAGACAAGCAAATTTTACAGTGCTCTTTTTCTTTAATTAGCCATAGAAAATGGCATATCAATATTCAATGACTGCACTAACTGCTATGTAAGTTATCAACTGCATTTGGTAACAAATATTTCAAATCAAATGTTGCTTAATTTGATTTGAAAACAACTTCATAATTTGTATAGACTATATGGCTACTTCACACAAATTTTAACCAAGTGGGTACTTAGAGAAAATCATGCATTGCCCAGGTGTGTGAATTTATATCTAGAATGTACCCATCTGCAGTTTTTTGGCCAAGGGATTACATTGTAAACAATGCTAAAATTAAAAATAAACGTGGTTAATCACTTAGGTAACAGAGGTCATTTTCTATTTCAATGCCAAGGATTCAAAGATGAGACCCAAGGATTACTAGTTTGATGCTCGATAAATCAAACTCCCTCGCTGAATGGTATATTGCTGCTAATATTACACATAATTAAGTATATGTAACATAACACATAACTAAATGCCAGCTTCTGTAAATGCTAAAATGCCTTTTTTATAAGATCATTTCTAGAAAACATGTTATCAGTAATCTGCACACAAATGAATACAATTTAAGTGCATACATATGTATACATACATTCTTTTATAGTGAGTGCAGCAAGCGCTTTGTATGTGGTAATTAAAAACCAACAATATTATGCTGCCCCTACAATCAACTTTAAACGGAAGTGCGGCTTGAATTTCACCACCCATAATGCACTTGCCACAGCCGCAAGGCAAACTGTTGTCCTATTGAATGGATTAGAAATATTTTGACCAACAAACATGTTTTCAAGCTTTCATGTGGAAATGAAATCCTGCTGAAAGTCTTCAACAATTCAATTAATTTAACAAATATACATTTAATGGTTTGAAATGTTTGTTAACAAAAACAATTTTAACCATTCAAGATATCAGCATATTTAACCTCTGGTGTACCTGATTTCTAGTTTAAAGTTTGGGAACTTTACTCACTTGTCGCGAAAGAGAAATACATTGTCTCTTACATGGAAGCTGGAAAATCCCTGTTTGGCGTTAAACATGTCCTGTCTCCCATTAAAACTACAATATTTTCATGTACCACATTATTTGGCTGGATTTACTTATGATTTATGTATTGGTCAGAAAAATGAATTTTATGCTATATTGGCGACTTTATTAAAGAACTTCTCATGACATATCCATTCAAAAATACAATATTTGTACTGAATTTCTTAATCACAATGTTAAATAGAATAGTCTCAGCAGTGTTTACAAATTTACATATCAATCCAGGAGCATGGAATTTACCTACTCCGTTCTACCACTGCCAGACAATACTGCTTTGTTGAAAAACTAAATGTCAATTGCATTTTATGATTTTTTAAAAACAGAAAATCAACCTCAATAGCTAAAAGCAAAGAACAAGTTGGGGAGAATGTTCTGGTTTTAATGATGAAAACTAGTTAAACATATGAACATCACCTTTACAAATCCCCAAAAACTATAGAGTCTTCTACCACATTTTAAATATCAGCTCATTTCTTTTTAAAGCAAAGCAAAAAGATAGTCCTCTCCGCAACCTCTGTAACACTAGAAAGGAAAACTATTGTTCATTACCTTGCTAACTAATAAATGTGTGTATGAATGGAAGTAGAATCAATAAAAAATAACTGAATAATTCATCTTATTTATGTTAATTGTTATATACATGTGTAACAGGAGCAGAAAAATGCACTGTCAGACCAGGGTTGGAACCCGGGACATTCCAAACTCTAGACAGATGCTGTACCTACTGAGCTAACTGGTCGCTGACAATCCACCCCATCCAGTTCCACTACTTATCTTTAGTCTTTGCCCCTTAAAGGCGTCACATCTAAAAACCCAGGTTCGAATATCCCCTTAAGTATTCACCTAATGCTTGAAACAAGGTTTGATCACGGCATCAAATGTAACAAGAGCGGAAAAATGCCCTGTCAGACCAGGGTTGGAACCCGGGACATTCCAAACTCTAGACAGATGCTCTACCTACTGAGCTAACTGGTCGCCGACAATCAACCGCATACAGTACCGCTAAACATGTATGCAATGATAAAATACAGCAGAATTCATAAAGTTGTTATTTTCATTTTGTCAGATCAGCTTCCAGTCTCTTACATGTACATGTGGAGATGTCGCGGTGTCTTCCTAAAAACTCGTAAAATTAAGGACTTAAAAAACATACACTTCAGTAAAGCCATGAATCCGGCAGTTCAAAATATGCATCCTGCTGATCGCTTTTCCGCAGTGCCTATTTCATATCAATCGTTATTATCTATTCTGTGTAATCCACAGAGATGAGGGACATTTCATAATGTAGGGCTAATGCTGAGAAAAAAAACCCAAATGTTCGTGACAAAGCGTACTGACCTTTAAGTCTTGAACCCTCTCTCAAATATGTTGTTAAAAGACTGATTTTTAAAACCAATCTAGATTATTCTGGAAATTGACTCATGTATATATATAGCATTAGTTCAAACACGTTTCTGATGTGAGAACAACCGAACAACATCTGACAGGAAATCTATACGCTGTAATATAGTCCCACAACATTATATGCTATATCGCCAATATTTTAACTACTGTTATAACTTAAAGGTGGCTATAGATTGATGCTACCTATGTTTTCTATTTGTATACCATTCTGCCTTTATTGTGCATATCTAGGATATTATGTATACGCGGAAGATTTTTAGCAGGGAAATTAGTCAAGGAGATTCTAATATTCCATATCATAATTCTAAATCCGGAATTCATTATGTTGTACATTGTAAATGGTCTGAAATACTACTCAAATACAGCATAAAGCAGACAAATTAACCCGTTTGAAACAATCAGAATGTTATTATTATCTTTGATTTCCAGCAAAGACATAAATTCCCTGAACAAAGTATTAGCAGATTTAGAAGATCAATTCTAGATTAACATTTGACCTTTATAAAAATACATGTATGATTTATGAATTATAGTCCAGTCGATTTTTGGCGATTACTTACTATGTATGACAGTGCTAGTATGCTGCACAGATGCAATGGTAATTTATCTGATGACGGTGACTGTATATTCATCGGAACGTCACACTCAAATCTTTTACTGGCTGTGTTATAAGAACTTCTACTCTGTTGACATTACTAACCTGAAGAAGATGTTCCAAAATAAGTATATTTTATGATTTTAGAATGGTAATAATTTCAATTAATTTTCTGTCTTTGTCAACCTCATTTTCATTTCCAAGTCCAAATCCACACTAGTGACACTCCGAAAACAATTGCCCCAAACTATACGTACATATGTACATCGCAATCATTCACAAATGTAATTTCAACGCACGAAAATATAAACAGTGAGGTTACACATGTACTAGTTGTTGTCATATACGAATGAGAGTGGGAGAAATAATTTTGCACAATAACTCGAATCTATGTAACCTGCTCTTCAAACATGTCATTATTTCTCGCTCCACAGACTATATTCCATTGGCTGGAAAAAAAAATGCTCATATATTTGAAAAATAAATCGCAAAAACAATGAATGAGGACAAACAAATGAGCAAGGTCAAATCAGAGACGTATATGGTCAAACTGACTTGTCTAAAAAAATCTTCATTAGTGAAATGATAACGGATGTTTCAATATCGTGTAGTTCACACTTGAATTTTTCAATAAAAATTAAAACAAGGTTTAAGCAGTAGGACCAGCAGATGTCTAGTACTCGACGAAGAAAGAGACTTTATTCTTCAAAGTAGACAGTATATCATTAAAAATATACTAAATTTTACCACAGAGAGAAAAAAAAATCATTATTTGATTATGGAAACGGGCTGTCTTGATGAAAACATCGGTCCAAGAGAGACAACTCTTATAGTTGCTGCAAGGCCGACGTAATTTATTGATATTTTTCTGTATGTTTTGGGTTGTATTTATTCTGTCTTATTTTTAAATCATTTTCGATTTTTCATCCTTTGATATGTGGATATATATCATCGCATTTTACATGAACATTTTTTTTACCACGTGTTAATATTTCGTGTATTTTGAAACAATTGGCATATTTCCTTTTTATGTTTGGTGCTTCAACAATATATCAAAAAAGATAAAACAGTTCAAATAGCCACGCTTCTTTATTGCAGAGATGTATGATTGGATATTTTACGTCTGGATTTAAACTACCAAACTTTTCTTGATATGTTAATTCATATCCGGAGTTTATCCCGAAGTAGGATTCTTTAATTTTAGTATAGCCCTTTATCCGGATGCTTAAAACCACATGGGAGCAGCAATTGTATAAAAAAAATTCTTTCTAAAAAATAATTATTTCTAACGGCTAAAAATCCTATCATATTCCTAATTAGAGAATACTCTAAATGTAGTTTACTATATTAATAATCTGATATTTGAATTCTATAAATGAGTGGTTTTGCTGTTATAGTTTTTTAGTTATGAAAAGCAATACTCTTTGTGACCTTGACCTGATGTAACAACAAGAGAGCGGCCGAGATATCGACATTTTCACAGCCGTCAACTACGTTGTGATGGCAGGGATTGCGCTTTCTTGTCGTTGTATCCACCCGTTAAAAAGTTTAGTCATCGGACGACTTGGGCATTTGGGTGAGTAATTATAAGTTGAATAAAGATACTCAGGCATACGCTTTTGTCTCCGAATTCCAATCGCAAACATCAAAATGGAAACAGATGGATTTAAACCATCCGATCGCCTGCATGTCAGCCAAAATATTACCTTGATTTGGACGACATTCCATTACATGCTTTGATTTGATGACAAAAGTTCAATGTTTAAGTAAATTAACCAACTTTCACAACTTCAAATTATTAATTGTATATGGTATATTGCATTTACACTGTCAACACCTTCGTCAAAATTTTACCTTATTTTCTCTTGAATATGTCCTGATACTACATTTGTATATATATGTCACAGATCCATCCGATTTAAAGCACCATATAAGTCTTCACTTAGAGATAAGACGTCTTCTAATTTTGGACTGTTTTCGGAGGAAAGATACATTGTAGCCAAATTTTATGATTTATGTAATATAGACTTTCTGACCCCAGTAAATACCTTATGTAAGTATTTACATATATGTATATAAGTTTGCACCCTCTTGCATCCTGAGATGAGACATGTCATTGGATAGATAATCAATATAGCCATCCTGTTGTGATAAATCTGATTGTTGTTGTAATTCTGTTTGAAAAAACATATCAGACACTTGTAGATTAAATCCATTGAATGTAGAAGTTGAAATTAAAGATTGCCTCATTGTCATTAGCCTTGTCTAGTGAAAATTTCAACTTTAGTGGAGTGTTGTAGTATTCGGCTATAGACTGAAGGGTCACTAGTTGGATCCTAACAGGACGTTTCATTAATCCTTCATGAATATTCTAGCTGATATTTGACTACTGACATTGCGTTTATGTAATATTCTGAGTGTTGGGATGTTTGTTTGATTTACTCATTTCATCTGAGATTTTTGGTCTTAAATTAATAATGAAATTGTTGATTATATTAACAGAGCAACAGTCAAAAACACACATAATAAATCTTTCCTTCGATCATACTTATGTAATTTGTAAACAAATGATATTGCAAAGTATAAAATAGATTCAAACAAGGATTCATTATCATCGTGTTAATATTATAGTCATATATCTAACCTATCCTTCAAATGATAAAACATACTTTTCAAACTTAAGAAGGTCTTTATCATTTTTCTTTGTTAGGTGAAGGAATGTTACATGTGGTACAATATAATAAATAATATCTTCTGAGTAGACACATAAGTTAATGTGTCATGTATCTTTCAATTCCAATGGCAAGGTTGGTTTTTCTCTCGCATTTTTATATATTGACATTTACAGATTTATTGAGAACACTGTTTACCTGTAATATGTAATTTTAGATGATTCATCTTTCTGTTGTTATTCACGAAATCAAGTGTACTTCATAAAAAGCAAAAGATTGGAGCAAGTAACCTTTCTAATTTTTCAAAATGTTTTGTTTGATTTGGCTTTCTTTTATTTTGATCTTTGGCTCAACTGATCAAATATCTTGACCACAAAGTCTTTTTTTTAATAGTCATCCTATATTTTCTATCTGTATGTTTTTTAAACTCAAGAATAGACCTTCACTTTGGTGAAGAATGTAGTTCATATGTTGACAAGTGCAGTTGTTGGTCTTAGCAGGAATTCATACCAATGTGTCTCTTTAATGGAAAATGATATTGAGACAAGACTTCCTTCAGCAGTGTTCTCATTAAAAGCTGGTTGCTGGCAAAAGTAGTAAATTAAACATCAATTCTGAACTGGTTATTTTTTTAAGTGAATTTATAAAATACCTCAGCTAGCTCTATGTTTTAAGAACAGCCACTTGTTTCAAATCTGAGTGAAAAACTGTTGAATGAGTTGAGTATGGTCCACAGTTGGTTGTTAAGTGAAATCCTTACCAATGACTCATTTAAGATAGCCCATGGTCCACAGATAACCGCTTACTTAAATTCACACCCTGTGACTCATATAAGATGACCATAATCTTTTAAAAACTAGTTTTGATATTTTAAGACAAATATTGCAACAAATGTCCAGAAATTAGCTATATTGTGTAGCTTAAGTGTGATGAAATAAGATTCTAAATCTAAATACACTTCTTTATGAAAGTGTTTAAATCAATATTAACACATATAATTCTTTATTTTTGTTGTAGGTATCAACCTAGCTGCTCTAAAGGTAATACAAGATGCACCAAAGCGAACTATTACCTTGGATCACTTTAAGTACAAAAGTGATATAGGAGGTGGAAGAGGTAGAGATGGAAGCTTGGCCCATTGTCCAAAATGTGGGTCAAATCTGGAATACTTAGATGCAGGTAACCATATACAGACTTTACATTTAGATAATGATATATTTGATTTGATAATGGCATATTAATACAGTACTAGTAATAACATTGAAGTTGACCTTTACATATAATTCTAAAGTTTTTTAACCTTTAGTGTATTACCTGTATTTTTGAATCCATAATAGGCTGTATTGATATCTATTGTAATGGGTCGGTAACAAGCTGACAAACCTTATAGTAAATTGGCTCATGTTTACTCCTCCCAAGGGTGATGAGTGATGGTACTTTAACAATCCTCACCTCAGTGTACATTGATCAGGGAATGTTAAATTAGTGATGGTAAATCAATTAAAATCCATATTTGATTAAATGCATTTATCAGTTACATTACTGCCTGTGTTCAATATTCTTAGAAAGTAAATACAATCCCTATTGCAGTAATATTTTCTTTTTTTTTCGTAACTTTATCCTAAAATATGGAATTTGCCTTAGAATGAATATTATTGACAATTGGCATCTTTATTATGCATTATGTGAATTCTGTTTTTGTTAAAACACAAAAAAATATGAAGGTATAGTTCTCATAATCAATTTTGAAAATGATAATCATTCATCACATCAGATGAGGTTAAACAATTCTTTTTTGAAATTTCAGATAGAACATTTGTACGTTGTGTGTCAACAACATGTAGTTTTATGTTCACTGATGGACCTCAACTACATGAACATGTACCAGAAGAAGCAAAGACTCCGACACCAAGAATGGTATGCTATTTCCTGGGTGTTGATTTTTCTGTTGATTTAAGTGAAATTCCAAAAATGAACTTTGATGAAAAAAACTTGGATAAGATGATGTCTGATCACACCAGTTGACAAAATTAATATTATGAAATCTTTGTTGATATCACAACTGAATTATCTCAGTTGAACTCCATATTATTTTTTTACTTTCTTTGGAATGGTAAGTGTCACAAGATTAACAAATAAGTTGTTATACAAAAGTATATTGATGGAGAACTGAAGCTGATAGATATGCATGCTTTTATATATTCTCTCAAGTTAAGCTGGGTAAAGAGAATATATTTTTATTGTGGTAAATGGGTTTCTATTCTAAAATCAAATCTTGATCCTCAGAAATTATACAATTGTGGAGGTGAGTATATTCACTCCTGTGCACTACACTGGCCACTGTTATCTGAGATACAAGTAGGAATTGGTCCTACTTATAAGTAGGATACAAGTAGGGTGGTTGGTTGGTGCAGTGGTAACACATTCACCTTTTACCTAGCCATCCGGGGTTTAATTCCCGGAGTGGATGTGAAAAGGTTTCCTCCCACACTAAGACCCCTCTCGTGCTTCCATCCCAGCCAACAAGAGTGATTAATATAAGTTGGAAAAAATTTGCTTCGCAATTGTTGTAAAATAAATAAAGTTTCTATACAAGTATGAAGGTTAAATATTGAAATGGAATACTAGTGTACTACACTGGCTGCTGTTATCTGAGATCAAAGTAGGAAGGTTAAATATTGAAATGGAATACTGTTATCTGAGATAGAAGAAGAAAGGCTAAATATTGAAATGGAATACAGTTATCTGAAATAGAAGAAGAAAGGCTAAATATTGAAGGGAATACTGTTATCTGAGATAGAAGAAGAAAGGCTAAATATTGAAATGGAATACTGGTATACTACAGTGGCTTGTGTTATCTGCGATCAAAGTAGGAAGGTTAAATATTGAAATGGAATATTGGTGTACTACACTGGTCACTGTTATCTGCGATCAAAGTAGGAAGGTTAAATATTGAAATGGAATATTGGTGTACTACACTGGTCACTGTTATCTGCGATCAAAGTAGGAAGGCTTAAGAGTGTAAGTGAAAAGAATTGTGGTCACAATTTTTCAAAAGAATAATCTTATTTCAGATAAATATGTTAAAGATGATTACTATGTGATGAAAGCTGTAAAAAGAGACAAGTTCAAGGTCACATAATAAGATTCCTGTTATTAATGAAAATATGTTTACGCATTTTGAGCTCTGTTGTGCTGACTTTATCTAATTCATACAGTGGTCCCTGTTGATGCTTGAGATTGGAATGATTTTCAGGTTAGATGGAAATATCCAGAGTTATATATACACGATGGGGATTTTTCATTTGAGCTTCATACAGTAGTTTTCTCACTGAATGTACTTTCATTTGTGGGATTTTTTTTTTCAAATTATTTCATCCTCAATGTTATAAGATGTATATTCACTTTTGTTCGTTGACATTATAACTTTATTTAAGATTAGCATTTCCACAAGATCTTAGCTTTGAAACTAAAGACAAACAAGATAACCATAACAACCAAACAATGGTTTTACCTGTAATCCCCATTACCCCTGAATGCGGATAAGAAAACCCCAGCTTGGTGAAATTGAAGACTTGTACTCATTGTTTTCCTATATAAATACATGGTACGGGATACACCTTACTCTGCTGTTTCAAATGCGATAGGGAAAGGAACACTGTTTGACTTTCAGTAATTATGCCATATTTAAAAAAAAAAAATCTTTGTATTTTTCAGATACATGAATTCTTAAACAAACATGTGACGGGACAGCATAGAGCCAAGAAAGTGCTAGCAACTCAGACATACAATCACTACACAAGGATAAAACACTACCAGGCCCAGAAAGCAAAATCTGCTCCTGTGCAATCATATATGGATTGCTACAGCATGGACACGCAGAATCCTTTGGGAAAGCTCAATCGACCTGGTGTGTAAATATTATATGGTTCATTACAGTGCTGTGTTCATCAGGATAAACATTTAGAAATTACTGTTTGTTTTTAGCTCACCTGACCCAAAGGGCCAAGTAAGCTTTTGTGATACTGCAGTGTCTGTTGTCCGTCTGCTATCTTTTCCTATAAATCATTACTGGTCATAAATAACTGATTATATTTTTGACCATACTCAGTCAGAAGCATCCATGGGAGAAGAGGAACATTCACAAATTTGTATAAATGCTGGGTCTCTGCCCCACTGGGGTGGGGCCAAAGGGAAGATACAGACAATATTTTCAAAATCCTTCTTCTTACATAGGGAATGACTGGATATTTCCCAATATGGTATGAACCCAGTTTGGATGAAGGAGATTATGTATAAATGGTTTAGCAAACACCTTGGGGTCCAACAGGAAATGGATGTAAAGTTTCAGAATTCCTTTTCAGGATTTTCTTTTTGTTTGGATGATGCAGTTTTACCTAAACAAAACCAGGTGAAAAAGACAGGCCCTATTGGCAGAAATGGACATTTAATCACTAACAAAAGTACATCTATATACAGGCTCATGTGTGTAAAGCTTGTTCATCACCACAAGAAAATCTAAGAGTGTTTTTTTTTTAAATTAATCTTGAATGAATTTTGATTAAACTCTTAATCACAGCAATCATGCTGGAGAATTACTGCTGAAATGAGTTTGTTTCAAGGTGTTAGGATCAAGGTTGTCTTTATAAATGTCATTCTAACAATTTCATTTCTGCAGGATTCTTCTTACTATGCAATGTAAATTGTTTTAGCAATATTGATATATACGTGTACTGACATAATCAAAATAATATTGTCGGAGATGTATTTTGGTTTTACTTAGTTGTTGCATTGGTTCAAAAAGAAACAAAAAGAAACATTTTGACTCAAAACAGACTTATGAATGAATGATAATTTTTTGTATGGTTATACAGATGCTTTATTGGCTGTATCTGGCTCCCCCATGCTGAACAGGCAGTCACCTCCACCTCCTGCACAGTCAATGACACAACTGCAACCCACAGTAGTCGAGGATAAAGAAGAAGATGTAATGCTAGACAAAAGTAATATTCTTCTGCTCGGACCAACAGGAGTTGGTGAGTTGACATGATATTTAATATATTTTACAACTTTATTTTATAATAGTCATGAAACATGCCCATCACTTATTGTATACCTTTACATGGAAGCAATGCCTCTGTTGATATTCTTCATATGAGTTGGTTTAACTGACACTTTTTTAGTTTTCAGTAATTTTATTTTTCATACATTAGATGATACCATTGCCTTATCGTAAAGTTGTTGTACCTAAAACAAGATTTTAAACTTTTGTGAGGAAGTTATGCCCCTCAAATGAAAAATCTTTGTCTTGCTGCGGTGTGCATTTGGCTAAGAGCACATTTTGTTTGTCGAGAGCCTTCTCTGTACTGTTGATTCTACATTATGAACAAGTAATTTGAGGGAGAAAGGGATGTGTTCAACGTTGATGGGATGAGTGGTGGATATCACCCACCTACCTTATAATGGAATTTATGCATTTTTGCTCTTTCAGATAGAAAAAAAGATTTGAAATCAACTCCTTCCTTAGTTTTAATTTCTATGAGTATGACTTGTGTACCTTTCTTTTTAATGTAGTTTTCTGTGCTTTTAATTTACTGTTTATCCATGAAATTAAATGCCCACAAAACTGATTTTACACTAAATACTAATATTTCAACAATTTTTAAAATCACTGCTTAATATATCATTGACAGGAAAAACTCTGCTGAGCTCTAAGCTTGCTGAGTGTCTAGGGGTACCTTTTGCAGTAGGAGATTGTACTACATTGACATCTGCAGGCTATGTTGGGGAAGATGTGGAAGGTGTCTTGTCAAGGCTTCTACTGAATGCCAACAATGATGTGGAAAAGTGCGAAACAGGTTAGATATACTTTATATAGATTAAGTTATACATTTTGTAGTCAAGTTGTAAAGAAGGAGCATGTACATTGTATATCATTTATAATTTGTATGGATAAGTTGTCTCCATTCTTCCAGGATAGCATTTTGTGATAATTTTGGTTGACTGATCTGCAAAGTCTTTTTAGCTGTTTTCAGTTCATTTTAATCTGAAGGTCAATGGTAAATATTTTATAGTCAACATATTTTTTTCTTCAGACCCTTAAATTCTTCTTCTTTAATAATCTTGTTAAAATATTTTGTGATATGTTCTGATCGCATTTGTCTCGTTTTGATGTTTTATGAAAAAGTCCTAAGTTCCAGTTTTTTTCAGTAGGAAGTAAGTCTTTAAACTGCATCATTGATAGCTGGTCATGTATCAATCCAATTGAAAAAGCAACAAAAACTGCAGGCATAACAGGAACACTCCCTCAATAACATGTTTTGTTGTTTGGTGATCGTGGTATCAGAATTAGGATATGGTGTTTTTGATACTTCAACAATGTATCCAAAAAGAGTCTGGGCTTATTATATATATGATGTTATGAAGGAATTTGGGGTTACAAATATCATTGATATGTGTCATTTCTATGTATTAACTTTCAGGTATAATATTCCTGGATGAGATAGACAAGATCAAGGTGCCTAGATATAACATTGGCCGTGATGTTGGTGGGGAGGGAGTGCAGCAGGCCTTTCTCAAGACACTGGAGGGCACCACAACTACTGTATCACTGAAAAACAAGAAGAATGAACTTATTCAAATAAACACCAGAAACATTCTCTTTATTGCATCAGGAGCGTTTATAGGATTAGACAAGATAATACAGGCTCGAGTATCAGATAAGGTAAAGTTTCGGGATGTAGTATTTTCTTTGTAATTCAATTTTTTTTATCAAATGATGATAGTATTACAATGTACCATGATTCTGTAATGTGCATTTATATCCGTATTTAAAAGATTTAGGAGCAACTTCTGAAATTTTTCCATCCTCTTCAAATAGTCATCTCCCTTCATGATTTTTAGTTGATGATGTTTCAGTAGATGTTAACAGTGATTAAGACAAAGTTTGAAAACACACTAGATACAATTGAGTTACAACTTATAGAGACTTTTTTAACAGGACTTTGGATTTGGAGCACGCTTCAATAAAAAAGAGGACATAACAGGAGCTGATAATGAAGAAGGATTAGATGAAGATAGTGCTCAACTTGATGGCATCTTAGAAAAAGTGGAAGCTGTAGACTTAATGAAGTTTGGAATGATTCCAGAATTATGTGGTCGTATTCCCATATTGGTATCACTACACTCTTTAGGCGTAAACAGTCTTGTAAAAATTCTTACGGAGCCAGTGAATGCACCAGTACGCCAGTATAAAAAAATATTTGCTGAAAGTGGTGTAAGTAGAACTGTGAAGGTCTTGCATGACATTTGTTGTTGATTATCAACAATCAAGTTTCACAATAGCAACATGGCATTTATGGTTGTAATAAATGTTAGAGCTATGCAGGCAAACATCATACTGTATACTAGTTTCTTTGATTCTACCCAAAGTTAATAGGAATTACGTTGATCCACTTGAAATGTCACAGGGATCAAATATGTCAAAATCTTTAAATGACTTCTCAATAACCAAAAGGCCAAGGATACTATCAGGCCTGTAGCATGCTTGGATGAAGGGCTACTAACTTTGTTATTATGAATGACATTGTCCCACTTTCAAGGTCATAGGTATCAAATGTGTGTAAATGTTTAAATGACTTTTTCTCAATAACCAAAAGGCCCAGGGTGCTGATATTGGACCAAATCTAAAGGTCACAGGGGTCAATGTGTTGAAATGCTTAGCAACTTCTTCTCAATAATTGAAAGGCCAAGGGTATTGATATTGGTCCTGTAGCTTGCTTTTTGGCAATTGTATAGTGCATGTATAAAGTATATGATTTCAAGTTTGCAGAAAATGTCATGATAAACCAACAATGTCTTATATTTAAGTTGTAGAGTAGTTGAGCAATTTATATAAGGCCTATTTTGCCTCTTCATATATAGGTCTTTCTAGTAAGATAAATGTTAAAGCCCATTTCTTGTATGATAGAAATTTCTATAGTTAATGTATTTCTGTGTTAAGATTTCATTTATTCTTACTATAATGATGAGGACAACAATTTAATGTGGTTTGAATAATCATAATAAAAACATTTATTTAAACTTTTGATTTTTTTTTCCGTTTCAGTCTGATATAGAATTTGAAGAAGGAGCTTTACGAGCTGTTGCGGAAATGGCAATGGAAAAGAAAACAGGTGCTCGTGGTCTCAGGGCAGTTCTTGTAAGTATACAACATCTGCTTTTTATCTTACTGTACATCTAACATATTCTGAAGGGACAGTGATGGAATGATTTTGTTCATATATCCATCTGTAAATCTTCATTTCCACTTGATAACTTAAACATATTATTGTGATTTTTGATGTTAATCTCATGTTTGTAAATGCTTTGCACATGAACTAACATAAAATAATAATCCATTTGAGTACAACAGGACCCTTAGACCTCTTGTTTGTATTCAAGTTTTCCTATCTTAATATCTGTTCATTCAATATATTCTATAGACACTATTTTAAATTGCAGGATGAGCTACTATTGACAGCAATGTATGATGTACCAGGGTCCAAAATAGTAAAGGTCACATTGACGGAGGATTGTGTAAGAAAGGGGACACCTGTAGTGTATACTATGTCTGATGAGGAGGAGGAGGAATGTTTACGAGTCAACACAACTGCCTAACAAACAATCTATTTAAGGCGAGTTAAAAAAGTGGCCTGTTAGCTTGCTTGTTCTAACTCAAGATCAACTACATAAAGATGGTTGACTAGATTGTCCCATCTCAAAGTAGTCTACCAGGCCCCACTTGTATAAAACATCTCAACTTGAGATTTCCTCAAGTCGAGATTTTCCTAAGCTGATATCTCCTCAAAAACGGCTTGTATAAAATTTTCTCAATGAACAGGAGGAAGTCCTCGGCTAGGATGTCCTGAAATTCCTTGCAGAATTTTCATACAAGATATTTTCAAGGAGATATTAGCTGAGGAAAATCTAGGCTTGAGGAAATCTGAAATTGAGATATTTTATACAAGTGGGACCTGGTGTATAGATTTGACAGGTTAACTAGTTTTCAATCCAGCTAGCAGTTGTCTATTTTGATGACATTACAGCAAAAAGTTCATAGTAATTACTTAAAAATATACAATCATTGTTTTGACAGTAACATGGGATGAATATATCATTTATTTTCAGTAATGATTGCTCTTACAGAAGATAAACAATGATGTTGTAAGTACAGATATGTACTGATGTTGTAAGTACAGATATGTACTGCTCTATCAATACATAGGTGATAAAACCATGTTAATTATTATGATGTGGAAGGTCCTTGGTAGTGGATTCAATTATATCAGTTTCAATGACATTTTCAGGAATTTTGGGGATGGAAGCTCAATTGCAGTTTTCTTTCATAATTGTGATAATTTATAATCTTCTAAGTTCATGTATCCTTTTCATCAGGTGTTTACTTAAGAGTAAATGCTGCTGATGCTGAAGGTAACAGGTTGAAATGTTAAAGCTTCTGTTGATGTAAGAAAATGATTGTTGAAGGAAAGAAATTATAGATCAGTAAAGAAATAATGTAAACACAAACACACATAGTTTATACACACATATAACACACAGACAAAGGTGTAGTACACACAAACATTTATTTTAGCGGAAAAAGTGGATTACTATACTTTTTAATATCTTGTTATTTCCTTTTTTAAAAATGTGATATTTTGTTGACAATTTATGACGGTTTGATTTGTAAGATGTGAGTATGGATGTCTAGGAATACACCAACACCCAGGGTCATATGAAGCATGATGTCTTTGGGAAATAAATGAAATAGAGGCATTTTCCTACTGACGGAAACGTCACAGTTGCCAGCATTATGATGTCATGCAACATCCTAGATTTGTATCATATGTAGTCTGTGGGATAAGTCAGTATTATATACTTATTATGAATGAATATTTACACAATGAAACTGATTTTTACTCCTTTCGTTTGTGAACACTTCATTTTTTTTTTTTAAAGATTTTAATCAAGAAAGATGATTATGTATAGTATTGTCCAGGATAAGAAAGGCAAGGTTTTTAAAATCTGATCTCTCAAAGAATTTGTGTTATGTTAACATTAAATCCTATGAAATCAGGATTATTGTAAAGCTGTAAAATGCTAGAAATTGTCAATAAATGAAACATGAAAATGAAATACATCTGTACTTAATTTCACTTGTTAGTAAAAAATAATGGCATTATTTTTCAATAGAAACATCTCGTTGAAATAGAGTAAATGAGATGAAATGACACCTCAATCATTGTTCGCATTGTATCATACCATCTTAAATGATTTTATACACAGTACGTTTGAACAAGTGTGAAAGGTTGATAGTAACTAAGTTAGAGACTTCTGATGTGAGTTTTTACTTTAGTAGATGTGGAGAAGGTAACCTCCTCGAGTATATGTGATTTTCTTCAGACACAAACATAAAACTAAACATTTCTTTGACTTCATTTACATTTTTAACTATAGGATAAATGTCACACTCTTCATGTTCATGTTGTTTGAGATATTAACACACTAGCTTTACCTGCAGGTCAGATTTCTGATGTAAAACTGTTTGAGGCAGAACTAATGCAACTATAAACATATCTAAAAATCTAAGCACTTAAACTGTACATGATCCAAGTATCACCCTGAACCCTAAGCAGAGACTTGTTTCCTTTCTGTATAAGACTAAATTCTGTATCTGTTTGCTCCCTGTCACTGATTGGTCGTTATTATTTGGAAAATATGCATCATACATTAGATTACATGTTGGAGGTGGGAGACCTACAGGTGATTTGGTTGACTAATCTTTTCAAAGCGGCCTTGTCATTTATAAAAACTGTGGAAATGGATTGTTTGTTGATTCGTCATCTTGAGTGTAGCACCGTTATTATTGTTGAGAGTATAAGTGTTAAGTTATTGAATTTTTTTTGTGTGAATTTGTTTCCTATTTAATATATATAAACAGGATTCATTTACTAGGAATTATAGGGTTAAGATATAACCTTGTAGATTCATATTTAAAATTGGCTCCCAAATCTGCATTTTCATTATATGAAAATATATGAATAATCAGGTTTCTTTAAAACTGAAATTATATTAATGCATTATTTATTTATACAGTTCTTAGTACTATTTTGTTGACACATGCAGCTTTGTGCTATTAATCATCTTTCAAAAGAAAAGAATGTTGTTATAATATTTTGGTACTATCACTGGATACTTTTCACCTTTTTTTCTGTATTTCCTATTTTGGCCTATACCTATAAATGGTTTGAGGATTTGAACAATGCAAAGTTAATGTTGATTCTGAATGAGGATAATTGGTTTGGGTTATAATGTAAAATAGTCAAGACACGATAAATTTAGACATGGAACCTCACAAGCCAATTCCCTTTTATCCCCCTATTTTTTTTAAAATTTTATTTATTGGTTATCAGTTATATTTCTGTCAATTAAAGCTACACCATTTAACTGGTCACAATGATGCTGTACTCATTCCATTGATTGTAATATGCCTGTAATACCGTCCCTGATTGATGCGATTACCCAAATAAAGTGTAATTTGAGTGAGGCTCTCCTGTAGACAAAAATAGCAAACTGTTAGATATTGTTACTAGTTGAAAAATCCTAGAAACTATAGCAGATTCAGATAAGGATACATGATGTAACATTATAAACTCATAGTGATGAAAATACAAAGATAAGTGGCATCATTTTGATTTTTGTATTGAAGGAAATCTCACATATTATCATTGCAGGAACATATTTTTTTCGAATTGTTATATAAACCAAGATGTTTCACATAAGTTTCAATTTTGAATTACAGAAGAAAATTCTTATCTGTTACTTTATGTCTCTCATGAAACTGTAGTTTGTTTGGAAGGTTATCACTACTTTGTGTAGCAAGCTTAACGGTCTGTATGAACTTATGTCATATAGACATTTATAGATTTTTGTAATTCTTTCATTTGATAACATTTAATTATGAGCCGAAGATGTAAAATGTGTCACTGAGATATCATCCTGGATAAACAGGAAAATCTAATACTTTATTCAGTTTTAGTTGTCTGTCAATTATTTTGTTTTTCCGTATAGCTTACTCATGATGGTGTGACTGTTAGTTTTGATATTGCTTTTTATTTTCTGAAATATGGACGTAGAATGAGTCCTTATCGTTTGTGAGAGTAAAAAAGAGCGAGTCATGTGTGAGGCAGTGTATGAATGGTTTGGGAAATGTTGGGAGAGACTGTGTCTGTACATGCTATGAGTGCTGTCTACTCTTCTATATTATTGCTGTTTTGTAAATAGTCAATAAAATGAGCACAATTTAATACAGATTGAAGACTTTTTTCTTTTATGTTTTAGAAAAAACCCATTGTGATCAATTATTTTTATGTATTCATTTATGGTTGGTATATATAAATCGTAATGATAGTATACTGTTATTGACTGGGGTTGAACATCTGTTGCCCGAAACCCCAGTCAATAACTGTTTCGTTAAATTCTTCACAAAGATGATGTAAAAGTACTACAACACAAACCATATTTCAAATCTGTAACAATTTATTCAACTATGTCAACATAGTAACATCAAATCTTATAACTCCAATGTAAACAAAACATCGTTATCACTCGGGCGTACTCGTATGTTTCCGTAAAGCTGTCAACATTCGATTTTAACAGTTCATTTGGACCGGTGAAAAAAACAGTTAAACTTTTGACATTTCTTTCTCTATATAAATAATGGATAACTTTACAGCAGCGGTGATCTGTTAGAATGTTTGATCAGGTTCAAATGCCCAATTACATTCCTTTAATGCACTCCTGGTGGTGTTATGATCGGTCTCTTTCCTCAAATTCACCTTGAAACATTGATGATGATGGTACAGCTAAGTTGTAGAAGTGAATGAATGAAATCTGTGTTGGTTGTTAATGACAATCTATAATACATGATTTTAGTTGTAAAAGATGCATCTTTATACAGAGGAAACAAAACCTACACACAGTGTACCTCCACTGTGGATTGATCCTGTTTATTGGGAATCTCGCTTGTCAATATATATTGAACAGATGCTCTGATAAGCCAAAAATTGGTTTTTATGTGACATTTTGATAACTGCACCATCACCTTGTCTCGACTGTTGTACATAATATTGTAGTAATCAATAGTCACGTTTTTGAATTTGTTCAAAATTTTAAAAAATGACGGTATGTAAATGATCTAAACATGGAAAGAATCTTCCTTCAAAAAAGACTTATATTCTACATGGTGTCATGTGTTAAATCATTTGTATCTATGACCATTTAAAATGTAAATTTTCATTTTCAGGTCCTTTTGGTTGTTCAATTGAAATCGTTATGTTCCGTGTATGTAAATTATATTCGTAGCCATCATTCCGATAACAGCAAGTCAGTTAATATACTATATTTCCATCTTAAGAAAATAGATGGACCGCGTAGGTTATGAGGTGTGTGCACTATAAAGATAGGGAAGTTGTATGAATAGTGCCTTTTTTGGTTTCCCTGTTTAGTATATGTGGAGGTGTTGGCACAGTTAATAGTGTAGTTGATTTGGTTATTTTAATATAATTATTTCTAATGTGTTGTGTCCCTGTTTAGTATATTTATTAATAAGCCGCTGATTCATCGGATAGTTCCCTTGCTTAATGTTTCTGTTTTGGGTGCGTTGTTAAAGTGAAAAATACAATTGCTTAGTGTTTCTATTTTGGGGGCGTTGTTAAGTGAATAGTCTCATTGCTTAAACCAGTTTTCTGGAGGCGCTGGTAGTGATACCTCTATTATTTGGTTTGAAGGCGCTAGCTAAAGAGTTATACCTCATGTTTTTCAGTTCCTTTTCTACCTTCCTGTAATATTTGCATGTTGTCAATGTAATCAATTACTATCACTGTCTAGTCCTTTTGGTATTTGCTGTGATCAAATACTATTGTGTGGTTTTGTTTCGTCTGTAGATCCTGTCGACACGCTATTGAAATTCGTGTTACTAACGTATCAAAATGAGAATATGACAAAGAGAAACGAAACCACCTGGTATATTAATGGAATCTAAATCATCTAACGTTTATCGTACAAGGAAATGTAATATTTCCCGACGAGATCACGCTGGCGTTAATGTAATATCAAGTTAAGTAGATTTAAAGTGGGCCATATCTGTATACTTGTATTTTCGATTTCCCTGATCGTATTTTGTTTGTAACTTTTAAGATATAAATATGAATATTCGTTTTATTCATGTTTTGCCTTATTCTACGAAAGACAATCCATATTTTAAAATTCTTTTCTAGTAGTTGATAATCATTATTACAATCGCATGGGGTTCAGTAAAATGACAATTTCTTGGACTCTCTTCATATATACGTGAATGGAGACTCATGCCATTTTCCTTTATTTATCGCTAAAGTGGTCTCGCCTAAAGGATTATGGTCGATATTGTCGAGAACGTTCTTGATTCAAACCCAAAGCCATTAAAACTAGATAAATATGTGTAAAAGAAGGATTTATATGAAGACTCGTGAACAAGGTATTCCGAAAGGGTAAGCGTTTTCTGCTTCTTCGACGACACACTCGCCATTTAATTCTTGTTGCCAAATGAGAACAAGGTAATTGACAGTGACGCCATAAGGCACACTATCGAGTATCAAATACATGCAACTCCATATCGCAAAAGGAAATGAAACATTTCTCAAATAGACCATTATGACGATTGTAAAATCTCCCTTTTATCTTTGTAAACATGCTCCCATCGAAAATATGTGTGGTAAGGTTTTTTTCCAGTCAGTTGCCAACATCCTGCACAAACATGGTTACATGAGGAACAAAAACCGGAATATCGAACCAACTGCAACATGTAAACAACATAGGTTTGGTATGCAAAAATGTGTCTGTTTAGTAATGGAAAACTTAAAATAGAGAAATTGTAATCATCACGATGATGCAGTGCATTGGAATTTTGACCCTGTCGGTAAAGTGACAATGGCATACCAAGACCCGAGTTACCTATCCTGATGAACGTTAAATAAACCTTTTTCATTTTATGCGTTGACGACAGGCGTCCAGAAAGCAATGTCCGTCATTGTTATCATTGACAATTGTGTCAATTCATTCTGTGTATATGTAAATTATGTACCGTGTTTGACATGGGCTAGGAAGTTGTAGCAAAAGGCATGCGTTAAATACATGTTTCTTTATTGCATAGAAATCAACGGAATTAACGATGTGATAAAATGTAGCTTAAAAGCCCAAGAAAATGAAACAAGAACAAAAACATTTTAACAGAAACAGCAAATCATTATATCAAATAAAATAAGCGATCGTCTTCCATTTGTTACATTTTCTAAATTAGTTCAAATTGATGAATGATATCCATCCTGATTATGGATTTGCGTGGTAAAGTCATCAATCACTTGGTTCACTGGAAGCGGACTTGGGTAATTCTAAGGTCACCGGAAACATTAAGCGTATTGATACGGTTCAGTGGCCTGAGACGATGATGGAATTCTGCGAAGTGTTGATTATTTACAGCGACCTGTGAGAAAAAAATGGAACAAATGAGAAACACAGATGTTAAAAGAGATATTAGACTATATCAAGAGACAACTAGAGTTCTATAATGCCGTTTTAAATAGCATTGTATATTGTCAGTGAAATATCTGGGATTCATCCAAGATGTTTAATATCAAGACTACATAGGGACATTTTTATACATATTTAATAAATTCAGCTCCAAACATACTGTGTATATACACAGTCAAACCTGTTTTAAGGTCACTTTTACATGGAGGCCACCTGTAAAGGTCGCAATTTGGGTTTGAGTTATTGAACCTCTATATAAAGACCGCCTATATATAAAAGTCACTTTAGTTTATGGTGTGATTTGACTGTATGACCATCAAGTATATACTCCAGAGATGTATTTACAATATACATATATCATTTCTTATTTGATTTATGGAATGAGTGTAATAACTTTTATGGAAACGAATTCAGATAATTTCTATCACTTGATCAATAATTTAGATACATTTTGTAGAAAACAGACATTTCGTCGCTAAACTTGAAGTAATTTTAGCTCTGCGTCTATAGTCGTGATTGTTTTTCACAATGCCATCTGTGAGCGTATGACGTTATTTCGTTCTCTGAACCTGACGTCACAATAGGGTATATTCATAATATACGCAAAAAAATCCCACAATTAAAGAGGTATATCATACATTACATGTTTTACTCTTCTTTTCAACTGACACACATTATAAACATATTGACCTTGAACTTCCCCTGCTCGGCCAGTATCATGATGTCGAAATTTGCATTAGGCTGGAAAGGGAAGTAGGGAACCTGTCTCTCCTCTTGTCCCCATCCACCATTGATGCATGTGTTCCGGATCACTTGATTGACGTTTCCAGGAAGTTGCACCCTGACGTCAAAGTGAAGGGCTATGTCCTCACCAGTCATTGGGCCACACTGTAGGTTGATGGTGAATCTGAACAAAGTTGGAAGTGTATTAATAAATATCAAATGGGACACTGACTATAGCAATTAGCAGGAGGGTTTTTGATACTCGACCAAACGAGGTATATCTTAATTGGCGTGTGTTCTTACACAGTTATGTTGATATTGGGTCATACAGACTGTTTCTTACAACTTTTTTTCTGCAAACCAAAGGATCTGTATATCTGTCAATGCCACTATTTTCTTATTTGTCTGTTTGTTACAACATGTTACTATTTTCTGATTTTTCTGTTTAAACGAACGTGTTACTATTTTCTGATTTTTCTGTTTAAACAAACGTGTTACTATTTTCTGATTTTTTTGTTTAAACAAGCGTGTAACTGTTTTCTTATTTGGCTGTGTATTATAAAGTGTTGTTTTCTAGTTTTGTATATATTACATTATATTTTTTTTTATTTGTTTGATTATTACAAAATGTTCTTACCTTTGACAAACACCGTGTGGGATACCACTGATAGACACTATTTTCCCTGGTGTCATGCCTCCTGGAATCGATGTTGTCAAGGGTACAGGCTTGAACAAATACAATAATCCAATTATCCTCGCAAATCGCACACAATTTGTAAATTAAAAGCTGTTTTTGTCATATGATGTTTTCTAGGTTTATAAATTACATGTAATATAAATTTAAGGTATAGTGATACTATTGAATTCGTTACCTGGTCGTATACGCCTTGTACTTTTCTTTGTTAATATTCTTTTGTTCATAGTTTGCCCTAGCTTTATTGAATTTGAGTTTGGATTATGAATATGTTGACATGTTGATAGGTTCTTGTTCTTTTAAACACGATTTAAATTCAAACTTATAGATCAGTACTTCTATAAAACATAAGAACCTTGGTGTTTCTTTGGAGTAACTTACTGGGTTATACATAGGTTGGCCAGGGGGCATCATGCTACCTGGAGGGGAGAACGAGGCTGCCGCTGGCGGGAAACCTGGCTGAGGGAAACCTGGCTGAGGGAAACCACCCTGAGGTTATAAATAGAAATATTATTATTTGGTAAATCCAACACTAGCGGTCTGTGGGATAGAATATATACATGTCAAATGACTTTCTGTAAATTCATTAATTTTCATGTTAGGGTTGTTTTCGTTTGACTCGTGGCTAGTCGGAGCCACGAATTGATATTGTATAAAATGACAAACAGACAAGGGTTGTCAAAGATTACAGTATTAATGGAGGTTATGAACAAGCTTTATCTATGAAATCGGTAGAAACTATGACTCCACACTATTATTATATAAAACTGCGAGAAACTGATGATGTTAGAAAACTTTTACCCCATGTCCATGATGATGACCATGGCCTCCGTGTCCTCCTTTATCACCGAAACTGATGCTTGTGATACCGACAGCACCGTCGATGTGTAGAGTGTTGATATGGTGCATCTGGATTCGGTGATTAAAGTCACAAAAATGTCGCCCATTTACAGTTATCTGCGAAAGTCAAATGCGTAGCAGAATATTTTTACCTGTCATCTTCTTTTTAAAATATAACACATATGTTTTGGTATAGGACGAGTGTTTTAATTGTTATATGTTTTACTGGTAGTTGTACTTGGTATTAATCAAATACATTATAATTACTTACTACGATAAAATCATATTTATAAATAATGTTATAAAACAAGACAATTTTGCACGGCATATTTATATGGACGAATGTGATGCTCATAATAGACGGGCTTTCCATGTTTGTCTTCACGGTTCATTACCGTAACTCTGGATTAACAAACAACATACCTTGAAATGGTTGTGTTTGATGTGAAATGTTACATCGAATGGAACGCCGCGCTGAAAGGGGTTCCCACCATGCTTTTCCTCAGAACCCCACGATCCATGCTGGCAAGTGTTCCTCACTACAGTACCCTCGTTGAAGCGAACGTTGAAATGCAGGGCATTATTCACAGTTGGATCAAGGCTTGCCCCACATTTCAGGTTAATAGTGAACCTAGAAGTAAACGAAAGATACCGGTTTTTGATGTCGCAGATCTTTATATATGATAATATTACACCATTGCACTTGCTGTCTTTTCCTGGACTTCTACTTCAACAAACAAAATCAGAACACTATTTATTTACATTCTGTTTTCTGTTTTGTCTTATAGAAGGAAAAGAACATAAAAAAGCCCAAATATTACAACTGTGTCAGATATTTTAACATGATAAAATTCAGTGACTTTAATTCAATTACTGTTGTTTCTTTTGTACTGCAACTGGTAGAGACGGTCACCAACTTACATGTGTTGATGATGATGTGGATGCGGAGTGCCTTGGATGGTAATCTTTGTCCCGTCATGGACACCTCCTGGTATCCCGCCTAAGTAAGGCATGGGCTATAAACAGAGAAAAAGAGATATAATTGTTACTATGAATTTCCTCTCTATCCTGGACACTTCCTGGTACTCCGGCTAAGTAAGACAGGGACCATATATAGAAACATAGAGACACATTCATTACTATAAAGTTACTGTATCCTGTCTGATTAAAGAAAAAAACATGGGTATTATTTTTAACATAACGTTATCGTAAATGCTTTAATTGCATTTGAACGATCGTTATAAGTGTGCATGTAAAACCACCATCAAACCATGATTGAGACATTCTAAAAAGGAAGAAGCTGTCACAGAAATTTATCGGCGACCAGCTAGCTTAGGTATATGGCGATGATAAAGCATCGTAACGAAAAAAAATATACAGCCGAATTTCAAATGTGGGCATAAGTTACAAGATCCAGTCAAGTCAGTGCTGATGCTATTTAATAAAAGGAACATACAATCACTTCTATGAAGGCCTTTTAACTACCGTCGATTAAGAATGACGAGATAGCAAATAGGAAAAAAGTCTTTGGATGACATAATTCAAATTCGCTGACACTAGAGTAAAATATGAACAATGATTTGCAAATAGAACCCTAAGGGAAAGCGTTTTATTCGATGACGACACTCGGTTGTAAATCTTTGTCGTAACGCTACTCCCATTGGAATGGGAGAAATAACAACAACAGACCACCAGGTATCATATGGATGGATACCCAGAAATATTAATGATAATATCGCTCCCTAGGTGAAATCGAGAGGTTTTTGGCCTTTATAATGACATTATAAAGATGTCTCGATCATTATTAGAACCAAGACAAAAGAATCGACCTTACTCAAACCGACAAAAGATCTATTTCGAACCCGATAATCAGCTGCAAAGTCATTGCCTTTGGGAAATTGCACAAATCTTCATTCGGGAATGTTATTTTTCGAAAAAAAGCTTTGCCATCCTTTCTATTCGCAAGTATTTCACTATTAGTGTCACTTGTTACCGGGTATAATAGATTACGTGTACAAAATTCGTAATTTCCCTTTCTCGTATGTACGTAGGCCGAAGAGATTACCATTCGGAAAAGTGAAATCTCGCTTTTTCAGCCAAATATCCTGGTGATGGTGGACTTACGTCTGTTACAGAAACATGGTTTTCGCGATCAAACAGAAAACATCTATTTCAAAAGGATAGACAGTCCGAAGGGGAAGACAGCTTTTTGTACTGAGGTATATGTGGACTATTTTTAAAAATTGATAGTACAGTACTCTGCAAGGTTTGCTGCTGCCGTAGTTGCCTGGTGCGGTTCTTGTACACCCTGAGTGTAATCAAAGCACATGATCATATGCTCTATAAACATTTTCCCCGCCATCTGTAAAACACTCCTAATTTGTATACTGTAATCATTCCAGCCAGAACAGTACAATAACCAGAGAAACAGGCTGCTGTAATATACCAGATAGATTATACAACATTACTTTTTTTCTTACAATTTTATTGAAAAGTTTTTTTTGTGGGTTATCGATCCTTTATCGCACGGCCATACATTGCAATTTCTGTCCTCGCGGTGTACTTTTCCGTACTAATATCTCATTCTCATACGTTTAAAAAATGCTAACCGTACAAAAAGGTTATTATTTAATAATCTTTTGGTAGATAAACTCTCACATAATATGAATATGAATTTATTTATTATAACATAACTATCATTCGAAAACAAGGTCGTAACGAAGTTAGGGAGGTTGAAATATTTGTGCTAATGGAGAAAAAGAGGCCAATAAGATAAGTTGAATGTTGAGTCACTAAGAGAATAAAATCAAAATATTGTGTCAGGTATTTGTTTAACAGGACTGAAAGCCCACGATATTTCAAAATACCTAAGATGTTAAACATGAGAACGAGGAAGTTAATGATCTTCCTGTTTATCGGGTTACACGACAGTTTCTACTACCTGGATTCGTATTTCTACAGAAGGATCTAAAACAGCGTTAGGTAAAAATCTGAGAAGTATGTACAGATATATATATATTTATTATATTTTTAGCAGTGAAATATAGGGATATCTCAAACTGATCGTGAAAAATATCACTTTGAGGATTGACCAATCAGAGAGCCCGATACAAATCTACTCCAATTCAAGACAGGACTACTTTTTTCCCCTTTTAACAAATTATCGGAAGTTTGCCATTGTTTTGGTTTATTTTTGCGATGAAAAGGTAATAAACAGAATATTTAATAGTGTCTTCAGTAATATCAAATATATTTCACTCGTGTGGCTAATATCCTACACATATTCACATAGCATCTTGCGCGAGTTTCCAATTGCCGTGTAATCAATCAAAAAAGTGTGAGGAATTTTAGTATTAGTGAGTCCTTGGTGAGCTGAAATGATTTAAAAATGATAAGATTCATTAACCACACATCAAATGAAAATGAATTAATTTTAGGTACACGTAGAAAGTGGGCGTTACATTAGCTAAATAACAAAATAATCATGCATTAAAACGGGATATCAACATCTTCCATATAAAGGGAAATAAATCATACATCAGTGTTACTTACTTGTATTACAAAGAGAAAATCAAAACATGATATACAGTTTGGTGCTAGATTTATCACAGATAGTGGGCATCTACTCACAGCATATAAGAGTTAGGGTACGTTATGATAAAACCGTAGTCATCACAGACATGTGGAGTAAAACAGTGGGCAAACATCCAACAGTAATCAAAGTTTTATGTTAATTAAAAAAATTATTTGATCCTCGATAACTGTGGTGTTTTTTTTTTTTTTTTTTGTCATAAAACAAAACCATTTCAGACAATGATATCGGTCTTATGTCATGATGAGAGAACATCAGTAATAAGACCTTGTCTTGTTATAAGGTGATACAAAGACATATAAGTGAAAATACCTTTCATTAGAAATTGAATTAGATACACTGGAGTCAAATAATGGAGTAAATTACAGCATATGTTACGTCATTCTAGGACTCGTCAGTGGTGCTTAAGGTCTAAATTTTAAATCCAAGAAGGCGACTGAGAGGAAATTCCAAAGTCATCGACGATAGTTCTTGAGTGATAGTTATCATTTCAAAGACGTTATTATAAGCTTTAAATAGCATATAATGTGTATATCAGACCCAGTAATGTCTACGTTAATTCGCAAGAACGAAACCGAAACTACAGACTATATATGTTTTACAGTGTCAACGGTACGTATTCATATACTGATGATAAGAATACACACACACACATATATATATATATCCACCGTCTGCTATCATTTTTATAAAAGACTTACTGGGTTATATACTGTTCCAGCCATCCTGTAGAAATGTGCTTCTTCTTCGTCCACTCAGCCCTGTTATTTAGGTGAAAATCCGCCCACTGATCTGTTGTCTCGTGATCTGATAAACAGTCACGCGACTCAAGCGGTGACTGCGCCCAGTGGGGCTTTTATAAACGAGAAGTACGACTGACTTGTTGTGAAGTGTCCCTGATTATCAATATCTTCTATCATACTCTAGATATTAGATACGAAAAGTAACAATTCAGGTGTCAAGTTAAGTATATATATATAGATATATATATGTGTGTGTGTATTTTACTTGGAAGAAGACTTATATAGGTTCTAGCCTGCTGTCTAATCCTATTTACATCAAGGAAATATTCTGAAATGTGTATTTTACTAGCACAGTTACACCATAGATTTTTTACAATAAAATATATTGACTGCATGACTACAACTCAGCTTGCTTGCTTGATATACAATGTGTTTATACATGTATAGGGATATAATTGCAATTATTTTATGTTTTATAAAATAGATGATAGAGGTACATTTAAGAGTGGATGTCTCGTTGCTCTTGATAGAATTTTGTCTGCACACCGTATTCCTTAGGATTACACTCTCATGCTGACGTAGCACTGCCATATTACCTGTCCAGACCATGTTTGTTTACATAGGCGATAAACAAACAAGATACTCGGCGTTCATCTTATCACGGAATGACTGAAGTTTACGGTGGTATCTCAATTGGGGAAGGTCACCCGGGGTAAATATATATAGGTGAATCAATTTGTCAAGATTAAAGTTTCTCTATCGAAAAAATTATGATACAGTGAATATACATAATAAGAGGTCATATAAAAAGGAAAGCCAGTGTTGCATCGGTTTCAAAAATTGATCATGACAAAAGTATGTGACAAAAACGTTTACAATTATTCTTTAAAAGTTAGACCGGAATGACTCGTTATGTAAAAGCTCCAATTGAACTTTAGTTATAATTGATAAGTTCCATTTGATATAAATATGAAATGCGCGCAAGGGGCCTTCCTGTAAGAGGAAACCGTAGTACTCGCAGGAAATGCATGTAGTCGGGCAGGTGACCCTATAACATAACATGTCCGTTCCGGGAATCAAATTTCATAAACATATTTTTTCATTCGACCTTGATGGTAGGAGTTGCCCTTGAAAACGGCACATTACATCTTATTTGTAGGGGTTGTCTTTGAATTTCTCATTTAATCTTACTGGTAGGAGTTGCACCAGTCTGAATAACATGTCGCCTTGCTTAATAATTAACAAACTATTCACCCAATCTAACCCACTTTCTCGGCAGAATTAATATCCAGCTACAAGTAATAAACAACATAACCGTCTAACACACATTACATTTGGTTCGTCTAAAATAATATAGTGCAGCTTGCTACAGCAATCTTTCATGTGAGTCCATACTCTTGTAATATAACACGTGTAAACACATATCAAGATATCATATTATACCGCGAGTACAAACATAATGTATGCAATATGAAAGTTTTAAATATTAACAATTTAAAGGCCTAACGAGGAAATGATTTTACGTAAACAACTGAAACATACACGGTACTATCATTAGGTCATCTTTTATCATTTATTCCTTCTGTTAAACTGCCGTAGTGGTTTGTGTTTCTCGTGTCTGTGCTGACGCATTTATGTCATCGGCCAAGGCATTTTATCTAATTTGCAATGGATCACATGCGACGGGCCTTCCGTATGAGGTTCAATGAGGTAACCACCGCACACCACTAGGATACTCTTGCTGCTCATCGGACAATTAATCCATTTCACAAACAAACTTTTGAATGTAATGTTTCTTTATATCAATTCTAATTTGTAATGTTATCTTTATGATGTATTTTGAATATACGGTGGTGCTAAATTTTCTCAACAAAACAAAAACGAACCTAAACTCGCTATGAAATTACGGCAATGAAAATGTTTTTTTTTAATTTTTCATTTTAACTTTTGATTAGTATTTACATATCATTTTTTTTATATCTTTTTCAGTTCGTTATTGATAGTCATTCTTTCAAAGCTGCGATAAATACGTACAAATGAAGCACGTACCACTAAACGACCTCATATGTAGTGTGTATTGTGTCTTCATGACCGGCACTCGCAGATAGAAGGTATAAACGTAGACATACGGTAGAAAGTTGAGAGGTGAAAGCTGTCGGCGGCATCAAAGATGCACAATACATAACCATACCATAAATAAATGTAATTCACTTCTCAGACTTTACTGTAGAAGAACGTAATCGGAGAGATGATGAATTTCAAATTAAAAAAAACAATAATAAAAAAGAAATAGATTTCTATCGATTCCACTTTGATAACTTCGCAAAAAGTCCTTTTCTTCTAGGAATGAAGATCAAGAACATCATCAAAGAGTGCGTCCCAAACTTCAACGAATTCTCCCTCTTCGATAAACAGATCCTCTGCAAAGATAAAATGGTTAATTGCTATCAATGATACTGTTATGCTCTGTGTGTAACCTATTTGACATAGTGAATGTCTTTAAATTCACACGTAACTGTTAAAGTACGATAAGATATGAATCAAGTTGTCAGAGAGACCACAAAAATGTATAAAAAAAAATGTAGTTATATAAACATTTTTGTTTTCAATAAATTCATAAAAATACCATATTTTATGTGTCCTGTTTTATAAAAATGACATCTATACATTATTTATTATATGATCGTACAAAAGACACACAAGTGAATTACGCCCTTTAATACAGCTTAATAGTTAGATACAGAGGTGAGAAACAATGTCATATATCATATATCATAGAGCCGTTTTGTCCTTCTAGGACTCGTCAGTGATGCTACATCATATAGCTGTCCGTCCTTCTAGGACTCATCAGTGATGCTACATCATATAGCTGTCCTTCCTTCTAGGACTTGTCAGTGATGCTACATCATATAGCTGTTCGTCCTTATAGGACTCGTCAGTGATGCTACATCATATAGCTGTCCGTTCTTCTAGGACTCGTCAGTGATGCTACATCATATAGCCGTTCGTCCTTCTAGGACTCGTCAGTGATGCTACATCATATAGCTGTCCGTCCTTCTAGGACTCGTCAGTGATGCTACATCATATAGCTGTTCGTCCTTCTAGGACTCGTCAGTGATGCTACATCATATAGCTGTTCGTCCTTCTAGGACTCGTCAGTGATGCTACATCATATAGCCGTTCGTCCGTCTAGGACTCGTCAGTGATGCTACATCATATAGCTGTTCGTCCTTCTAGGACTCGTCAGTGATGCTACATCATATAGCTGTCCGTCCTTCTAGGACTCGTCAGTGATGCTACATCATATAGCTGTTCGTCCTTCTAGGACTCGTCAGTGATGCTACATCATATAGCTGTCCGTCCTTCTAGGACTCGTCAGTGATGCTACATCATATAGCTGTTTCGTCCTTCTAGGACTCGTCAGTGATGCTGCATCATATAGCTGTTTCGTCCTTCTAGGACTCGTCAGTGATGCTACATCATATAGCTGTCCGTCCTTCTAGGACTCGTCAGTGATGCTACATCATATAGCTGTTCGTCCTTCTAGGACTCGTCAGTGATGCTACATCATATAGCTGTTCGTCCTTCTAGGACTCGTCAGTGATGCTACATCATATAGCTGTTCGTCCTTCTAGGACTCGTCAGTGATGCTACATCATATAGCCGTTCGTCCTTCTAGGACTCGTCAGTGATGCTACATCCTTCTATATCAGTGATGCTACATTATAGCCGTCCTTCTAGGACTCGTCAGTGATGCTACATCATATAGCCGTTCGTCCGTTCTAGGACTCGTCAGTGATGCTACATCATATAGCCGTTGCGTCCGTAGCTGTTCGTCCTTCTAGGACTCGTCAGTGATGCTACATCATATAGCTGTCCGTCCTCCTAGGACTCGTCAGTGATGCTACATCATATAGCCGTTCGTCCGTCTAGGACTCGTCAGTGATGCTACATCATATAGCTGTTCGTCCTTCTAGGACTCGTCAGTGATGCTACATCATATAGCTGTTCGTCCTTCTAGGACTCGTCAGTGATGCTACATCATATAGCTGTTCGTCCTTCTAGGTGATGCTACTCCTTCTAGGACTCAGTGATGCTACATCATATAGCTGTTCGTCCTTCTAGGACTCGTCAGTGATGCTACATCATATAGCCGTTCGTCCGTCTAGGACTCGTCAGTGATGCTACATCATATAGCCGTTCGTCCTTCTAGGACTCGTCAGTGATGCTACATCATATAGCTGTTCGTCCTTCTAGGACTCGTCAGTGATGCTACATCATATAGCTGTTCGTCCTTCTAGGACTCGTCAGTGATGCTACATCATATAGCTGTTCGTCCTTCTAGGACTCGTCAGTGATGCTACATCATATAGCCGTTCGTCCTTCTAGGACTCGTCAGTGATGCTACATCATATAGCTGTTCGTCCTTCTAGGACTCGTCAGTGATGCTACATCATATAGCCGTTCGTCCTTCTAGGACTCGTCAGTGATGCTACATCATATAGCCGTTCGTCCTTCTAAGACTCGTCAGTGATGTTACCGCTGTTTTGGCCTTCTTGGACTCGTCAGTGATGCTACATCATATAGCCGTTCGTCCGTCTAGGACTCGTCAGTGATGCTACATCATATAGCCGTTCGTCCTTCTAGGACTCGTCAGTGATGCTACATCATATAGCCGTTCGTCCTTCTAGGACTCGTCAGTGATGCTACATCATATAGCCGTTCGTCCTTCTAGGACTCGTCAGTGATGCTACATCATATAGCCGTTCGTCCGTCTAGGACTCGTCAGTGATGCTACATCATATAGCCGTTCGTCCTTCTAGGACTCGTCAGTGATGCTACATCATATAGCCGTTCGTCCTTCTAGGACTCGTCAGTGATGCTACATCATATAGCCGTTCGTCCTTCTAGGACTCGTCAGTGATGCTACATCATATAGCCGTTCGTCCTTCTAGGACTCGTCAGTGATGCTACATCATATAGCCGTTCGTCCTTCTAGGACTCGTCAGTGATGCTACATCATATAGCCGTTCGTCCTTCTAGGACTCGTCAGTGATGCTACATCATATAGCCGTTCGTCCTTCTAGGACTCGTCAGTGATGCTACAGTCATATAGCCGTTCGTCCTTCTAGGACATATAGTTCGTCCTTCTAGTTCAGTGATGCTACATCATATAGCCGTTCGTCCGTCTAGGACTCGTCAGTGATGCTACATCATATAGCCGTTCGTCCTTCTAGGACTCGTCAGTGATGCTACATCATATAGCAGTTCGTCCTTCTAGGACTCGTCAGTGATGCTACATCATATAGCCGTTCGTCCGTCTAGGACTCGTCAGTGATGCTACATCATATAGCTCGTTCGTCCTTCTAAAAGAGACTGATATTCATGTGATGTTAGAAATAAACTTGGATAGGTAAAGAAATATTCTCAAAACTATCCATTTTCATCTAGGATTGCTCATGTTTATCTATAATATACGAATTAGCATCCTTCGTACCGAAAGAAGGTTGAATGAAAATTTGTCAATTATACTTTTAATGTTACATCATATAAAGCCGTTCGTATTTGTTAAGGTAGAACGAGGCCAAAACTTTCTAATGACACATATATTATTTTGAATTCCAATTCGAACACTGATTCTGGAAATCAATGCAAAATATGAACAAAAGAAGATTTACACAGAGGCTTCTGCAAAAGTACAAGAAGAATAAGACGTGACTTAACGAAATCAAGGTAAACGGAAACGGCCCCACCAAGCATACTAACAAGTATCAAACACGTCCGATTTCGTATCGCACAAAGAAACAGAATGTTTCTGGGTGAGATCGTTATAGAGATCGTAGAATTTTCCTAAAATCTTCTTCAATTTTAATTTTTAATTTTAATGATCATGCTTTTCTTACGTCATGCTGGAAAAATATCCTTGTTGTTGTATTGTATATAATTAAGTGGTTTATCAAAGGACAAGAGTTACGTCCCCTAATTTACCACGACTAAATGATTATATGATCAACACACAATAAATGAAGTGTGAAACCTATGATATTTAACAGTATTGAATGTTTATTTTGTCCAGTCTTCCATCATACAACGATGAACACACTGCCACCATTACTGAAGCGAAATTCTTATTTCAAACTTCCTTTGGTTATACAGTTACAAAGAGTATAGTATTTTCCTTTCGGCTGTATCAATACCGGATGAGGTGTTATCACACAATTTTCTTCCCACAGTAAAGCTGAAAATTCTACTTACGATTGGAATCAAAAGACATCCAAAAGTTGTGGAATTCAGTTGGTCCCATTGCACCCTGTGTGTTGTCATAACGACGGAACATAGTTACATATCTTGGCGTGTCGGCATATGCCATACTGGAGGGATAGAAAAAGAGTTATGGAAGAAATATGTAAACAAAATCAAGATTAAGCAAAACAGATATTCTGTGACAACAAATTGTCTTACCCGAGAAACACAAACAGTACGGCATGGAGAAGCATGGCTGTTATTTCAATCGTGCAGTGTATTGTGTATGCTGATAAGGTCCTTACTTCAGACATTTAATGGAGGACGGAAATATTTGATAACGATTACAGATCAACTAGAGATAAGGTATAACTGTACATGACCAATTTTTAAGTTCGAACTTTGACAGGCATGTGTGGGTTCGGAGAGTACACTTCACTATATTCTTTGATTCTAATATTTGGGCGCATTCGGATGCAGATAACTCATCTTGATCATAGTCTTTCTGTCGTCCTTAGATTTACCCTGTCTTATCTATTTGTTTATAATTTGTTCTAGAATTTCGATCCAGAAATCAAGATTCATCATTTCTAATTTCAACTTATCCAAACGATCCCAGAGGTGACGAGCCACCGAAGCATCGAAATGTTTGAGCAATGTTTCCAATATCGCTGTATTTCTGCTATTCTGCTATTTATCCAAACAATTGCAGTAGTGACTCCTAAACATCTACCTCGTTGAGCATTGTTTCCAACATCGTTTTATTTCTGCATTTTCTTGTGTTCATCTCAAAAGTTGATCTCATTTTGAGATTTTATATCTTTTTCATTGCATTTATAGACTCAGAACAGTTTGTTTTTAGATTTTAAAATCCGAGAGCAAAGGTCATAACTTTTAAAATGAAATAAGAAACACAAATTTACTCGATTGATCATAGAATGTAGGATTCTCACCTGTACCTTTGTATCATGAAAGGATTCTCACCTGTACCTTTGTATAATGAAAGGATTCTCACCTGTACCTTTGTATTATGAAAGGATTTAAGTTTCATTCCTTTCTTTGTCAAAATTACATTTAATTTTTTGGCGCTTAAAAAGTGGACAAAACAATGCCCATTCATTTCTAGTAATGGACGTAACTGAATTGGCTGTAGAAAATACGTATAACAGGAAAAATACATGTTCTTAATTAATTTTTCAGAAATGATTGGTCATAATACACTCTATTTACAGAGTAAAAACAAATTTGAAAGATGTGAATTATCAAGCCAAGCATGATCTCAATGATTCTTTGTACTATGGCAAGGTAGTCCATACAATCCTTTTCTTTAATTCATTTTTCTCTCGACCTTCTCGATTGGATTAGATCTTCCGTAAGCGTTGGTTGTCATATATCTATTTTATCATTAATCTGTGTTCCAATTAAAGAGTGAACTGACACAGTTGTTTTATACCAATTTGACATTCCATACAAATCTAACAAAGTCACCAAAACACACGACATTGATCTACAAGACTCTAAATCATATACACGATGTATTTGAAATATCTCCCGTTCAATTGATGCAGTAGACATGGAAATGAACTGGTTTTTGATAGTATTTCCAACTCAACCCATTTTTGTAGTTTCGTTTTCAATTTTTGTTTTTGTCATATGACCATACATATATGTATATGCGTGGGTGCATTATTCACGAAAATGGATATCTTTGTACGACTAAACAAGGCCAAGGTCTATCTCATTTACCAGGTCACAGAAATGCTGTGAGAAGTATGACATATGGTGCTACGTCACAGTTATTTACATATATCTGTTAAAGTAGCACGAACGTATTGAAACCAGAACCAGGAACGGATTGTCGTGTTATATTGAGAATGGTTCCTCTTCTACTTCTGCCACTTTTGGTGTCTGGGTAAGATTCAAGTTTCTGGTATTTTAGTTATAGTTAAAGTTTATCAAATTTCTACAAAGTCATTAAAAGAAACATTTCTCATCAAACCACATCGTCAGATCTAAAACAACGAAGGAATTCATAACAATGGTTATAAACATTTAACAATGTTTATGAACACGTTTATAAAAATCCGACCTGAATTGTTTATATATCATACGAATTTGTATAATTTCTCTCAAATATTTAAATTTAATACATTAGTAAAGTAGAACTATGATATTCACTTTCTATTCACTCTCTGTTTGTCTATTTATTTACAGAGTGGTGTCGAAATCGACATCGAGTTCAACATTGTTCAGCAGATATTCTGCTGACCATCACCATTTGACCAAGAGCGAGTTCTCTCACATTTTCCTCTCTTTTGACACCAACAGTAAGTCGCTGTTGTACGAGTTATTTCCCTTGAGTTGATATAACGATACATAAAATTACCAAAAGTGGACACGTGTTGTTGGTGAGACGCGTGCAGCATGCTTTCTTGACATCGCACAGGTAACATCTTGTACCCAAATCATCACTATCACAAAGACGATTTACAGTTTTGGATAAAGATATTGATGTTTATTATCAAATGACATTTACAGCGTTTTGATAAACAAAAGCTCTTGATATATGGCCTATTGTGACGATATCTGTAAATAACGAATTTCGTCACGCACTCACCTATTTCAGTTCGACGTCACAATGGAGGTAACTGATAAAGTTTCAAGATGACTTAAATGTTGGCATGGAAACGAAAGTTTTCTGCAATATTTGCCAAAATGAATTATTATGTAATGACAAAAGATCTTACATGAATTTGTTTTCAATGACTTATGAGCCTCCATAGAAATTCTTATGTTAACATTTACACGAATAGATAACTGCAAACTTCTTGGGATATAGTAAAAATATTTACTTCATGAAAAGGTCCTTAATCTCGGAATCAGTATAGACCTGTGAAATAATGAGAAGAGTATAAAAGGAACAGGTGTTATAAATATTTCAGGCTACCAACGACTTTTTGCCCTCTCAGTGGCGTCCTCGATCCCTACCGAAAAGCAACTATTTATTTGTTACACCTAAAACACTTATTGCTATAGATTAGTTTTATTGTTTCACTGAGGAAACTCTATAAAGCTGGCTATAAACTCGGACAAGGCAACATAAACACTTTACACCGAACTTCTATACAGTCCTGTTGACCATCGTCCGTCCTGGTTTTTCTTGGGAGGTCAGTTTCTTCTGGCACATGTTCTTGCAGGTACACAAGAGTGATCAGACTTAGGTGATGATAATTAATGTTTTTGTACGTGAAAATGTCTCAAGGTAATTAGTGAGAATTTCGATCCCATGGGTATTATGATATTAAGAAGACATCTTTCCTTTTCCCGTCAAATAAAATAACGATGAAATTAGTATTTCTCTGTAGGTTTTGATTGAATGTTACAATCTGGCTTAATGCCAATAACGCAGAATATTAACACTGACCATCCGTTCAAGTGATACAGTAATTTTTTTTAAAACATGTAACTATCTTGTATATTTCTGTCTATAATATGTTTACCATCTCGTCACAATATTTTTACCTTAGTGTACATAGGATTATAGTGCAGCCGAAAAAGTTGGTCGATTGCGTACCATCTCGTACACTACGTTCGTCAGTGATACTACGTTTCGCACCAGTCATTTGTCTGATGAAGGTGATCGGGTAGTCATCGAAACGTCTGACTCAAATTTTCTACTCATTTTCCAGCAAATCACCAGGTTACGATATCAGAGTTCGAACATGGATGGACTCAGCAGCATTTAAGAGACTCGACTGAGTCAGGGTATTTCTTCACTGTAGCAGATGTGGACGGTGATTTGCGGATAACACAGGATGATATGAACTATCTGTTCATTGTCATGGATACCTCTGGTTTGTATTAACACCATACAGTGATCAATAGAACGAGTTTCAAATTAAGCTGCCCGTAGTTCCCATTATAGTAGATAGACAACTTGATTTATACAGTACACAAGCCGGAAACCACCTTATCATCAAGACAACTTCCGGTATACTCCATGTTAAATTAATTGGTGTCTGGGTTTCCAATTATTAAATGCACGCCATAGATCCAAAGTATATAAATGTACAAACTAAACTGTATGAAATCACAATAATGCTGACGAAGAATATCTACTACCAAGCCATTCAGAAACAGGGCACTTCGAATGCAACTTGAAATCTTGTTTACATAATCTTTGAAAACAAACTGATGCGACCAAACTACGACGTTAACAAAGTTGGTTTACCACTGAAAACTAGCTCCAATATATATTTGTTGATCATGAATCGGAGGGACTAGTAGGCATCTAGTCTCATCAACATTTAGTAAAGGTATTATTAGTATCGTGGCCTGTTAGTCAGCTTCTAATTGTACCACGATTGGGGATATTTTGGTTAATTCACGGTGTTCATTAGCATTAATTTTGCCATAGGTCCCTTGGATCTTTTAGAAATATACATAAGTGAATAGCACCATTCCAAATAGAAAATTTATTGATAAATAAAACTTAGTCAAACACCTGATCCTTCTGTTAGTGAGGCTTGGTGCCTTTTATATTGAAATATAGAAAGTAAGTAAGGAAAATGTATATTCATAGTTTATAAATGAACATGTATATTTAACGACTGGGGTTTACACTTTGATAGTTTTCAAGATTGGGCAGTTTCCACCTCAGAAGATGAAATATGATTGTTATTAATAAAAAACTAAGTTTTTCATGAATGCCAATTAAGTTTTTAAAATATGCCAGATATGTCTATATGGTTATTTTTTCCGTTCCTCGCCAGATACAAGATACGATTCGTCAGGTAATTCACCATGAAAATAGACAACACACGTGACACTTGATTGAATCAAGTTTTAGTACGATCGATACATCACCGTATTGAAAGTTTCATGCTACTTTGTAGGACTACCGATATAAGACTTGTCGTTCCTGAAGTCCGCCATTGGAATGCATAATGGGATAAAATTATATTTTCACTGCAGGTGCTGTGATCTAATTGGTCGTAAGAGTATCAAAAACTTGTCATATTCTATCTCTGACGATACCACTAGTACTTCCACATTAAAACCCTATACTTCACCACAAAAATATAATAAGTGTATGCATGTAATGACGGTCTGTTGTTTTATATCCAGCTGATGATTCCCTGTCACCTTCGGAGTTTTCCATCGGATGGCATAACCTCTTCGAAGCAGGTGGTGATGATGATGATTGATGATGATAAGATTCTGATTTCTTGAGATCAATAAACAAAATCAAAATGCTTTTATTTTATTGATTATTGATTATTCAGCTATTACCTTTAAGATAACAGACATCACTTAACAATTTCATTCTTTTTCTGTGTGTGTAAATTTACTTCGAATATCTGTGTAGCTGTAACGCGATGTGTTATTAGTATTAAATCTTTCGTGACTGTTGTAAAATATCTGATCAAGAAGTACAAAATGAAGTTGGATGCATGCAATAATAACGCATAATGTAATAATAACGCTTAATGTAATAATAACGCTTAATGTAATACTTGTTACATTAAGTGTTGTGGCTGCTAAGCTTAGTGTTATAAACTTCTTTTGTACTATATCAAGCCTTGCCACTGATACGCTTAATGTAATAATTTGGTTTTATTACAATAAGCGTATCAGTAGCAACGCTAGATGTAATAAACATTACCTTAAACATTGTCATTACAATAAGAGTTACAATAGATGTGTTTGATACCCGTTAGTATACACATTTGTTCTGTTGTTGTTTACCTTGTTCTCGTTTGGAAACATAACGTTGCTTACTTACATCGATCTGAATTTACATGAAGTAGAGGAAGTAGGATGTCGTCGATGAATAAGACGCTTACTTTTCCGGAACACCTGATCTTATTCATCTTGTACTTTTCAGGAGTTTCCATGTTAATCCTTTTTTGTTCATATTTTGCTTTTGTTACATCGAATTTAAATATGAATTAAGAATGTGTTGACATGTCGGTGTTTTCTCTGTCATTTATGTTCTGATATGAAATTACGCATTGAAATTAAATCTAAAGATTCTTTATATTTTAATATGCTTTCTTCATATGGCCATTTTACTTTTCATCTAAATCCCCGCCTGGAGACAGACCAGCATTAAACTTATTGAATGTATGATGTTAAAGTATTGAAACAGACTCTTTGCCTACACAATGATAATATGTCTCTCTCTTGGCTACCTTGGTTTTGTTTTCATACGCAGCAAAATTTAGGACTTTGCAATGCTCTCCAATTTCATATTTTAGATATGATGAAGAATCCTTCCATTTTAGTAACTAAAGAAGGTCGCATTTACCAACCAGACAATACCATTTTTCCATGCTTAATCTCACCTCAACAGTTTATTGTATTACCAAAAGCCAATTATTTTACCGGTATTGTTGGTAGTGAAAGATAAGCAGCAGATAAAATAGTCTACAGTGTGAATTAAAATTCTGACGGATATTTCTTTCACTAAAAGACATCATCAATACGTGTAAACATTGAATCGAACAAATTGGCAAGGTCTTTTCACCTGTTCTGATGAGTTCCTCGATAAATTCAGCATCATATGAAAACGAGAACAAGTCATTTGGCTAATCGCCCTCAGTTATGTATATTTATATCTACTACAATTAACATCATAACCAATCAGAAAACAGTAATGGAATCCTATAACGGTAAGACATGTTGAATAGTTAAAACATATTGATATTATTGAAAAAATGTAAACAGCCGATTCGAAAATAAATGCATTCTAGTGTCACGCTTTGATATTATCGATTAATCACAATAATTGTTCTTCGTCCATCTTATATATATGTACATATCTATCACATGCATATTTTTTCTGATTAATTTCAAGAAGAATTAGGGAAAAAGGCTAAACGTAAAGTGGTATCAACAATATATAGAATTTGTTAAACGAAAATAAAGAGTGATTCTCAGATGAACCTGTTCATGGAAGATACATTTTCTTAATGCATAAGTGCTAATGATAATTACATGAATTTCACACTTTAAATATTCAAACCAACCGTTAAAGTATGTTCATAGTATGTTTTTATGTTACTTTGAAGTGCTCTAGTTTTCATTTGAAAAGAAACATTTTTAAGTTTTATCATCATATTGAATCAGAATCTAATCTAGATCTTTTTCACTACATGTAAGTATATGAACAGGAGTCTAATGATCTGTTGATTCTTTAAGGAATAATGGATGATATCCGATATAGCGTATTGTTCCGAAAATAAAATGATTTCCTTGATGGACATATAAAAAAGGCTCATTCATGATCTTCATAATATGAAATACTATCTCTGCTTGGTGGCGTCAGGTATACCGTCTAACACGTGACTTGATAACACGCAGGTAAAGTAACAATATGAATCGACTTACACCGGATTGTACAAGTAGATGAAATATGAAGATATTCCGATAGCTTGCTTTTAATCTGCAAGTACAGGTGGTGCGCAGATGGGTACCGAATAGCAGCCACGTGACTAGTCTCGAGACGCCTCTATTTGGCACGTGACTATCCTTCTGGTGGCCATTGTTTCATAGTTTGAATTGACATCGAACATCAGTCGAGATATTGTTTTCTGATCATTTTTGTGTACATTACACAGATAAAATGTATTAAAGTAATTATAGCAATAAATTTTAGCGTTTCAGCGACCAGAGTGGATTTTACCACAGCTTATTTTTGGATGTCTTAATTAAACATAAAATCCGACCAACCGCCTACATCAGATTTTCTGACGAATGTTTGAATTGACTTCTTAAAAAACGAGAAAAAAAAAACACCAGAAAAAGAAGTAATTTCCTATGAGGAGTTAAGCTTAAGGATTACAGATACTACTCATGGATGTTTTCCATAAAAAAGCGTTACATTAACATAATTGACACATACGGATTGGGATATGCTAATTACATTTTTGTAGTTCAATTTTATATCGATGCTAGTTACCAAGCTACCTACAGAAATGAGACTGGTTACAGTTGCTGTGACAACAGTTATTGATTAAATATTTACTGATAAGTAGGTTACTACTTATACAGTTACTGACAGGTAAGTTAATGGTTCGGCTCACTGTTTTGTTGTCATACTAGATCTACAAAGTAAGTGTCGTCGACAAAGAAGACGTCATTGTCGAGTAACACCTGATCTTATTCTCCTCGAAGTGTTACTATATATAGCAGAAATCTGTTCATATATATCCTCTTGTTATTCCATTGTGAAATGAAGAATGAGAAATCCTAATAGGTAGGATCTACCACCCCATTTAGATGTAAGGGAATATGATATAACAGTTATAACGGTCATCCTTGCCAGTGGGTGTCTACTACCACGGTCAGGCGTTAAAGAATGGGTAGAGATCCTAGTCGGTAGGATGTGTGTCTACTGTTATGGTTAGACGTTAGGAATGGCTAGAGATCCTAGTCGGTAGGATGTGTGTCTCCTGTTATGATTAAACGTTAGGGAATGGGTAGAGATCCTATTCGGTAGGATGTGTGTCTACTGTTATGGTTAGACGTCAGGGAATGGGTAGAGATCCTAGTCGGTAGGTTGGGTGTCTACTATTATGGTTAGACGTTAAGGAATGGCTAGAGATCCTAGTCGGTAGGTTGGGTGTCTACTATTATGGTTAGACGTTAAGGAATGGCTAGAGATCCTAGTCGGTAGGTTGGGTGTCTACTGTTATGGTTAAACGTTAGGGAATGGGTAGAGATCGTAGTCGATAGGATGTGTGTCTACTGTTATGGTTAAACGTTAGGGAATGGGTAGAGATCGTAGTCTGTGGGAAGTATGCCCACTAGCACGATTAGATGTTAGGGAACGGGCACAGATCTTAGTCTGTAAGATGGTTGTCTACTACCACGTTTAGATGTTAGGGAAAAGGCGAAGTAAGAGACCCTGGTCGCTTGGATGGGTGTCTACTACCGCGTTTAGATATTGTGGAATGGATAGAAATTCCAGTCGGTAGGATGGGTGTCTACATTCCCGATTAGACATTAGGGAAGGGGTAGAGATACTAGTCGGTAGGATGACTATCTACTATTGTGGTTAGATATCATAGACAGTAGCACGGGTGTCAACTCTCATCATGTTTAGGTGTTAGAGAATCGGGATAGGTAGGAATTATAATCAGCAGCTTAGATGTTAGATGTTGGGGGATGTGTAGAGATCCTAGTCTGTAAGATGGTTGTCTACTACCGCGTTTAGATGTTGGGGAATAGGCGAAGTTAGATACCCTGGACACTAGGATGGGTGTCTACTACAACGTTTTGATGTTAGAGAAATGACGACGATAGATATTCCACTCGCTAGGATGGCTATCTACTACCAAAGTTAGAAATTACACACTAGAATCGATAATTCTCATTTAAAGCATTATGATGTGATAATTATTGACAAATATTCAAAACTTCACTTACTCCCGAGGCTATGTGGAACCGTAAACTTGATCTGATTAGTTTCCAGAGATTTATTCAAATGAACATGCAAATATACCGCTAAGTTTATGTTATTATGCAACTCCTAAATTCCTTTTTTAAACATCGCTTCTCTGTGCTTGTTTGATTACAATATAAATGATGTTGATATATTCATTCTAAATCAATTGTTTCGAAGGCTTTTCTCGATTACTCGGAATCTGTTTAGTTCCAGAGCTGGGTTCGGTAACATTTCCGTATTTGGTATGTAGATTAGGGTTTAAGTTATTACTCATGCCTGCAGTGTATACACAAACATGTAAATATTTATTCTAGTAATGAAATTTACTCGCCTCGATCACGGTAAACAGATTTTCGTAGTTTCATTAACTTACCATATATTTTGATGCAAAAGTGATTACTAAAATGAAATATTATCCGTAATTGAATGTTAAGTACCAGTACTTGTGTCGGTCTATATGAAATATTAACAGTCCGGTTGTTCGACCTCGGGCTAGGAAAATCCTGATTATCTGTTAATTATTGTTGTCGAGAAATCGGAGGTAATCAACACTAACCGGACAACTTCTCGCTTAATCAAATCGATAGCACGAAGCTTAAAGGCCTATATGCCGGGATTCTCTAACCGTCGCGCTTGATTGAACATGGCTGAGAACAGATGCGCTCAGAATTCTCCCCTAAGCGATTTACGCTCCCAAGGAAATATAACATCGTTTAGGTAACACCCCTTACTCCTCCGTCAGTAGTGTGTTGGCTG